TGACTTTGACTTTGACTTTGGCGCCTTGTCGTCGAGTTGCGGACACCAGCCCGTTACACCAAGTACCAAGTATAAAATAAAAAATATGTCATACGAGTATAATAAGAAATACGTCATATTATAAGCAGAATTATGTCACTTGATGACTTGTTATGTAATTCGGAACCGCTTCGGATGTCGCTTGTGCGCTAAGTCCGAGAAATACGAATATCGCTTGTACACGCGCCAGCACATCAAGCTACACATTGACGTATCTTGTTCCGTTGCCCTGGAGGCGATTTTCAAACAAAAATGTGTAGTCTGATGTGCCGTTGTCCGTACACCAAGCGATAAAATGATCCTTGTGACATTTCGGACCGTCATTTCTCGGATTCGGAACTGCAGCTTCATTTTGATTGCCTCTCCCGATCGGAAACTGCGTCTCCTCCGAGTCGAGGCGCATAATTGCCATTCACAACTGGCCGATAGGAAACTTTTGACATTTCTAATCAGAACAATAGCTGATTTAGCTCACAAATTCATTGACTTACAAATAAATGGACCACGGGTCTAATACAAAAGCCACGAAAAAAATGTCCCAAGTCAGCCTATTTAAGCGTAATGACATGTAAAGGAATATGAAAAAGCTAAAACGTTGAATTTAAATTGTAATGTCATCGCAGTACTGTCTAATGTTGCTTGCTTCGCTGTCAGTTGAACAAACGAAGACTAAAGCGTGAATGACGCTCTGTATACGATTTTAACGCCCTATAAGTTCGGACACTTTTTAGCGCGGACCCGACGTCCATATAATTGTAAGTCAATGCACAAATTAGAAAAATATAGTAGGAATCAGGTTCATCTTCTCGCTCGGAAACCCATCTGATTTCGAGACTACCCGATCGGTTCGATCCGGTTTGAACCAAAATCAGCATGCGGATACGAATCGGACGTAGTTCGCAAACACTCTAATGGATGGATTTATGTGAGGCCAATGGGAATATGGAGGAAGCGAAAAAGAGGTCAGGTCTACTACGAAATATGATACGTACTATGTGACAGCGAAGCTCATAGCTATCGTATCGAATTTTGACATTACTTTCTTAGTAAAACTGACATGTGTAGTTACGTACTACATGAGCTTCGTTGTCACGTATCCAGTCACTTTCGAGGCATGGCAGTTTGAAGTTTAAAAGTTTTTCTCACTCTTGTTTTATTTTCAAAACTTATAATGTCATGTAAATCCAGATGTATTTATTTATGTTTATATTTTTGATTTTTTTTTTGCTAATCTAGGAGGTTCGACTTTAGGAACCGTTTAGAACATATAACTCATTTTTTAACAATTTTGTGGATTGGATCCTTTTTGCTTAACTACGTCCAATTATGAAAAACTCACTAGTTTTAACAAAATTTAATACTAATTCTATTCAACAGAGAAACAACATAAAATTGAGATTATGTAAAATTTTAGTGAATATATAAATAATTGTAAACATAAATAAGGGACTTTATTGATTAAGCTTCATAAGCGATTGAATATCACACATTAAAGCGCAGGAAACACAGAGAGTGACGCTAAGTTAGCTTTAGCTCACGTAGCGGCGGCATATTTTCATACATCAGTTCACACCGCTAACTTATGCACTGCTAACAAGCTGTTAATACATTATGAAACTTATTAATTTATAAACACAGAATATGCTGTGAGGTACGTACACTAAAAACTTTAAAAATGTTTTCATAACATGTTTATTAATTATAAAAAAAAACAATTGTTTCGAAAACTAAGAATTTATTATTTAAACAAAGAAATCTAAACACAATATATTAATATTATATTTACAAAAACACTTGAAATCCCATTATTTTGTGAACAACTGTAACAATAAAAGGCCAACATAAATTAAAATAAAATACATAACCACACGGGAGCTCCATTAAAAATGCATTAATTTTTCTTTAACATTTAAATTTTCTGCTGTGTGAGTTTGGGGAAGTATGTTCTAGTGTCAAATATCCACTGAAACATGAATTGGCCGATATGACACGGAAGTAATGCTTCCTACCCACCTACTATCTATAAAATGTCATTCTTGAGTGACATTAAGCTAGAATGTTATCCCTTGTTGAGGCTCACTAACATTGCCGCAGAAGTAATGGAATTATCGTAGCCTTAGCATTTTAAATTTATTTTAGCAACTTCTGCTGCACAATTGTTTTAATTCTTTAGAAGATATAATTCTGCCACCGTTAGTTGAAATGGCGCTTGTGACAAAAACTTAAAACTGAGAAAATAATTATTAAAGATATTAAACTAAAAATATATTTACTTTTCTCTTGCGGTAACTTTATGCCTTATCTGCCTCACAAAAACTTTTTTTATAATATCAAGTGATGGGACAAACAAGTCGTGCACCTGGTGGTAAGTGACATACCCAGTCACAGTTGCAGTGCCACTCAGAGTTCTAAAGCGCAAAGATCTTATGGCCACTGCCACTGCTCCAATCACCCTGACACATAAGTGACAAATCTCATGTGCTAAACCGGAAGTAATGTGACCATTACTGCTTGGCGGCAGTAATAGGTAAGGTGACAGTACATCCCTGGATGAACTCTTTCACAAGGAGCTCTACTGCTACTAAATACTAGTAACCTTTCAACTAGTAGCGGCAGAATTATGGTCTACGTCTTCTTCTCTTTGTATTGATGGCATACACTATAATGCTTGTCATTGTGGTGAAGGATTGTACTCTAGAGCCACATGTCCATCATCTACGTTCAGTGCCAGTGCACACTGCATCTCACAGTAAATCACTGCTTGTTTGCAGTGACACTTTGCCTTAATACGCCTCTCGTATCTGCACTAGACTGAGATGTTTTTCCAAGTAGACGGGTGGCTGTGTGTGATGAACGTTAGAGGTTTTGTGAGAGGATGGCTAAGCATCCGTCTTCTGTGAATTACTAATATTATCTAGTTATGAATTTCACAGTGCCTCGCTAATTTACTGTAATGCTGTATAATTGCATGAAAATAAATTTTAAAAGTAACATACAAACTTAATACGGGGGTGAAAGGAGCCACCCTGCAATGACAAAACAAATCCTATTCCTAGTACTGGATTTGGCACATCCTAGGCAACAATCGGTGAGTATTTTACTTTGATTACCAAATCCTTTCAACATAATAGCAAATTCAGCATGGCAGCTGCTTGTGGCATATAGTGTACGTCATTGATATGTTAAGAAGATACATGCCAAAAAACAGGTTGTGCGTCTTTCGGAGAAATCTCGTATTCTCGGGAAATTCCTGCAGCTACCGTGTGGTATCGTATATGTACGAAATTTCGTTACAAAAAATTCACTCCCATTCGGTTCCTATGTAAATTGAGCCAAAATCCTAGGACAATGCTTAAAGTTTCTTGGCATGTCTGTTTGTTTCCTTTAACCGTACAATAAACAAACTTCGAAGTTTGTTTACCAGCCACATAACCTCATTGTCTATGATGTAATAAAAATATTGGAGCTGGTGATATTTTTCTCACAAATAAATTTAATAATAGGACATTTATAAAGTTCTTACCGATGCAAAGGGTAGTTTCTTTCGCTCTTCACTGTTGACTAGAGTATCTACATGTTGTAGTCTGTACCAAACGTAGTGCCCTGCTACAATTACAGGCACGCAAACAATAGTGATTAGGTTTTTTGATACAAAGTTACGCATCGACATTTTCGCTTCAAAATAATAATTGGCTAATCCAAAGGAACTTGAAGTATATTATGAACGTTATTATAACTCAATTTTTTTTGAATGGAATTATCCTATACGAATGACGATCTTTCATTCGTATATTTATTTTATAAACATAGCATTACTGCGGACTGTCACTGTCAAAACGCGTATGCTCAAAAGTTATGAAACTGATATTTTAATAAATTAATAATAAAATATTTTTATCACACTAGAGTGTTAATAAATTAGACGCAAATATTTTAAGTGTAGTTCAGCATCTCCTGAAACTGTAGCGCAATAATTTCAACTTTGTCTTTCATTGACTTACAATTATATGGACGTCGGGTCCGCGCTAAAAAGTGTGCAGTGCGGACTCCGCACTTGTAAGGCGCTAAAATCGTATACAGAGCGCCAAACTCCGCTTTAGTCTTCATTTGTTCGACTGACAGCGCGATACTGCGATGACATTACAATTTAAATTTCGAATAGGTTGACTTGGGACATTTTTTTCGTGGTTTTTGTATTAGACCCGTCGTCCATTTATTTGTAAGTCAATGTTGTCTTTTGACATTTTGTGTCGTCTGGTAAGAAAAAACATTTAACGCTCTATTTTACGACATACAATGTGAATTAGCCGCTATTACTGGTTTTGCCAACTTGCTTGTATTTAAAATAGCCCTGCTGTCTGTGCTAATAACGGTCGTTCTGCTAAATAGCGCTGTTTATTACGCACGAGAACAACAATTGAGATATAAATTCAACTCTTTTGAGTTAAGAACGGTCTAAAGTGTGAAGAAGTGGTGTCAAGCTTATGGTTCTTTAGGTACTTTCTGTACTTTTTATTTTACACGCGCTGCACACAACTTAAAGGTCTATCCACATATATCCGGACCGTGCCAGAGACGTGGACGGGCCATGCTCCGTCAGGGGTTTAAAAAATATCGGTGCTTATATTTTGTATGAACACGTTCACACATGTCCTTGTCCGGGCCGGCGTCGGGACGGACCCGCAGTTCATACAAGCTAGCACGCCCCGTACACGTCCCGGGCACGGCCCTAATGTGTGTGGATAGTCCTTTATCCACACGGCTAAATTATCCGCAGGTGATGCATAAGAAAGAAGTCGATGAACGCACCATGTCCGTTTTCACTTACAAATTGATATAAGCCAATAAAAATGCTTTTAATACAGAATGACCAATCACTGGCAATCACTAACAGAATGATTGTCAACTTAATTTAAGGAACACAATGTAATGAGAACACAGTTCAAAACACAACATGGTGGCAGCTCAGTGAAGAAGGCAAACGCTGCTAGTCTCTAAAAATCTCGAAGCTTATTTAGCAGGAGTGTTTGATACAATTTGTAAGTAATCCTAAACTTTTTTCTCATACTTTCCAATAAGAGTTTAGATGAAACATCTAGAATTTTTCAGGTAAACACCAATCAAATAAGCTTCATATAAAATTTACGATGACGTCTGAAGAAACCCAGATTTCCGAGGAACTGAAGGGATGTTACGAGAATCTTATTGTGATCGACATTGGCGCAAACCTGACGAATAAGAAATACGGCCGTGATCTAGATTCAGTAGTGCAACGGGCAAAAGATGCAGGTATGTTTTCACCAAGTTTTCAGTATCGAAAAGAACAGATTGTAACCATCTGAAATTGCATATGTAACACCACAACGTATAACGTATGCATGTATGTCGACGAATTATACATTAGCCCGCGAGATTGCGACAACGAATACCGCGTAAATTGAAATTTTACTACTCGTTTCTGTCATGTACGTGTACTATAATTTATGCAGTTGGAAGTTTCAGTTGCCAGTGCGAATGCTTAGGCATGTGATGCATCGATCGCGATCGATTTCACATTTCAGCTTAATCAGATTTAAATGATATAAACAATGTATAGCAAACTATAGGTAATTTTAGCCAAATTCGATATGGAATAATGTCAACAAACAAAAACAGTGCGTGCGAGTGCCTTTGAGGCACTCAAACTCACTCACTCTAAAACTCACTGAAAGGAACTCAAAGTCGCACTCGCAGGCGCTCAAAGGCACTCAAAGGCACTTGTAGGCACTCAGGGTTAGGTGCGGGCGCGTGTAAATCAAATGTACGCAGACGCTCGTTGCATTCACAGTGGCCGCGTGCTCCGGCTCCTATGTGACGGCGGGCGCGGGCGCGGGTGCACGCGCGCCTCTCAGGTAGAACTATTAGCTCGGTCTGCTCGTACCTTTTACCATGCTTGGTCTAGCCTCTGTTTGCGATTTCGACGCGTAGATCTACTCGCTCGTAGCAACTTCGGCACTGTGAAAGGGAAGACGCCAAGACCCGAGAGCCCGCGCCCGCCGAGTGTAGGCGCCTGGAGGTAAACTCCCGTTCTCCGTCTGACATCCGTCCGAAACAATTATTGTCAAATAAGTAATACTCGACCGAATTAAAAGACATGACACGAATGAAGCTTCGTACTTGACATGTTTGGTTGAGTAATACTTATTTGACAGTAATTGTTTTGGACGGATGTCGGACGGAGAACGGAAGTAGAACCCCTGCACTCTGAATGAACCCAAAGGCATTTGCAGGCACTTGCAGGTACTGAAAACCACTAAGGGCACTCGCAGGCACTTGCAGGCACCTAGCTTAAGTAAAGACTTGAAAACATTTCCACTATACCTGTTGAAGTCACAGCCTTTTACTCCGAACAGATTGTTACAGGCGAATGCTCCCAGTGAAGGAGGCTACCCAATGTTACACAACTTTAGTGTTGCGCTACGAATGCTCAGTTCTCCTTCATCGCTGTAATGTTTGCTTTTGTGACTGTTACATTACAAGCAAATGCTCGATGATTTTTTTTTACTTGAATTACTTCAAGTTTAAAATCGGAAATTGATGCTGGATGAGATAGGTAGTAAATTATAGTATAAAACATAATTAGATGCCTAACAAGTAAACAAAAAAAAGTCACTCGTCAAAATGTGAATACAGATGTGCTAAACCTTCTATTTTTAAAGGAATTGAAAAAGAAGGAGAAAAAATTTTCTACAATTTTAATTATCTGTTGCATAATATTAAAAATAAACAAACACTTCAACAACAACGCACCATAATGTAACAAATGCACTATAAAGACAAGAAAACAGTCGAGTTCGAGAAACGAAGCACAAATGTCATCTATGACACTACAAAATCATGGCACAAAAAATTATTAATTTATCATTTGCAAGATTTACAGCAAATTTTTATCAATAAATATTTATGTTAAGTAATAAGTGACAGTGCTAATTACAGATCTTCACACAGTTGGAACTGAATGTTTTTGATCTCGATTGTGGTGTCATAAAATTATTCACGACATTAAAGATAGTCTTTTATTATAGTTATTGTATTACATGAAATTAAGTCAAAATATACATACATTGCAAAATGTGAATTTATTGTTCAAAGTTTAATCAGACTACGGCTTGAATTGAAGTTCTATATCAAGCTACACAATGACGGCTCTTGTTCTAATGCACTGAAGGCGATATTCGGGCAAAAGTGTTAAAATTGCTCAATAAATAATAAAAAACGGAAAACTTTCAAACGTTTACATAATTTACAAAAACCACACACAGTCCTTGTGAAAAATCTCGGAGAAAAACTCCCTCTGCGTATTTTATAATTTTCTAAGAACTCGTTCTTCTTATCCTTCTAGAATTTTGCATTACATTAGTTATTATTTATGTATATATTTCAATTTACTCTACTATGTATAGAACTGTATGAAAAATTTTCTCATCTTTTTCCAATAGTTAATGTAACAATGTTCCTTTTTATTATTTCTGTTTATCTCGTTTGTCGCGCACAATTTTTACGTTTTAAATTACCGTGTAGAACTGTCAAATTGTTTTAAAATCGGTTTCATCTCAATAAAATACTTCCGCGGCCATTTATCTCGGTGCGACAAAAATGTGGTCTCACGGTACTTTGCAGCGTTAGCTATTGTGATAAAATTTAAAAATGGCGGTTTTATCACTCAAATTTGACAGCTAAATAATAGTCTTATCGCGGTGACTTGCAACGGGACATAATATGTGTCTTAATTATATCAAGGGTATTAATTATAAATTACGTTTAACTGTTCCATGTTAAGTTAAGCGTTATTGTTAAACTCTACATTAGTGCAATATTTATAAGTATGGGTCACAGACCACAATTAAAATCTTATTAATTTGGTGCCCCACTAGCCTTGATAAACAATTAAACTTTGAACTAGCAAATTAGGCCACTGCTGTTTTCGAACTGTGCTGCGTAGCTTTTCTATCAACATAGCTCCATCAAACATAAAACGTAGTGGTGTCTTGGTAATTGTAATATAAAATATTGTAATATTTATTTTTATTGAATGTCATGATTACATTTATCTATTTTTTTTGTGATAATACTCCACCAGTTTGTTAATTATTATTTCGACGTACTTCATCGATCGAGTGACTTACGTACCGGTGTTCACCCGGGACTTCAGAAATGGTGACACCATTTCTGAAATCCCGGGTTAAAAACTTTTGTGTATGTGCTACCGTCGTTGTTTCCGATTTCCATAACACAAGTGCTTTAGTTACTTATTTTGGGATCGGAGCAATGTATGTGACATTGTTTAATATTTATTTCGACTCATCCGAAGAACAGAGTCCGATGTGATTATACAACGAAAAGAGGATAAATACATAACCTCGTTATTCAAAATAAGACCTAGCTGTAGGTGTTCCCAGAATTTTATGTATCATTTCGTTTCGGAAATATAAAATCGAACAACGGTCGATTTGATATCCACAGTTAAGAACAACGTACAAAATATACGATGTCCTGAGAATAAGCAATCTTGCATATAGGTCTTTGTTCTTCGGATGAGTCGATTTATTATTCATACAAAGACGAACAAACACAAAGAATAATTACTTAGATTCGACTGGATTCGAACCAGCGTATTTCGCCTTACTTTTCTTCACTCAACTATGGCTGAGAGAGAAAAACGTCTAAGTTCTCACAAATGGTACTAAGGCAAATCAAGTAATTTTTTTAAATAATATCAAGTGACAGCCGAGACCACGAATGCGTGAAATTGATTACGACTTCAGAAAAACAGTTCTTCACGCATTAACTATATGCAGTCGAAACCGACTGCATGCAGTTAATACGTGAAGTATTTATCAGTGACCTCAACTGCATGAAACCGATAACGACATCAGGTATTAACTGCACCAAACTAGTAGAAACCGACTTCGTGCATCCGCGATCGACTGCATGCAGTTAATGCGTGAAAATGTTATCAGCTTCATGCAGCCAAGACCACGACTACATGGAATTTATAACGACATCAGGTATTAACTGCACCAAACTAGTAGAAACCGACTTCGTGCATCCGAGATCGACTGCATTCAGTTAATGCGTGAAAATGTTATCAGCTTCATGCGGCCAAGACCACGACTACATGAAATTGATAACGACTTCACACATTAACTGCATGCAGTCGAAACCGACTGCACGCAGTTAATGCGTGAAGTATTTATCCAAGACCTCGACTGCGTGAAATCGATTTAACTTCATGCAGTTGTGGTCTTGGCTGCATGAAGTTGATTACGACTTCACGTATTAACTGCAAACAACCAGTCAATCTGTTAGCAGCTTAAGGGTCGTATTCTAGAACTCTACTCAATGCTCAAGTCAGGATTGCAATTGAAACGCAAGCACTGGAAATACGACCCTAATGGCAGGGAGTTGAGTATGATTTCGAGTGCTTTAAACCATACTCAAATCCTGACTTGAGCATTGAGTAGAGTTCTAGAATACGACCCTTAGAGCGGTAACCATGTTGATGCGATATTTGCTGGTTCGAGTTAAGTTTTTCTTTGTGTTTATTCAATATATTATCACATCAATAGTAATTCCTATATATTTTTTTACAAACAGGAGTCCAGAAGATCATGGTCACAGGAACTTCAGTGAAGAACAGTAAAGAAGCATTGAGACTGACCCGTCTTTATCCGGGAACTATTTATTCAACAGCAGGTACGTATCTAAAATAATCATATTATGTCAAATTTAAAATAGTATAAAAGCTACCAACGTACAGTGTTTTGAGTGGTGTTGAGTGTTCAAGAACACTAATTTGTAGTGTTAAAACTCTTGTGAGGTGTTCTTGAATTGCGGTGGCACTAATAATATAATTATTTGTTCAGACAACAACGTGGTATGATCGAATAGTGTTGTATCTTACAAATTAACTTAAAAAACTTTGTTAGTGACAAAAATATAAAATAAAAATACAAGTCGAAATTATCTTTCACTCTTTCATCTCTTTTTATCTTAAACTCATATGAGACTATTTAATCAGGACCCGAATGAAAGACTTCATTACAGGCAGTTCATATCTGTCAGGTATGACCTGTAGAATGCTGTTGGTGCTGACCCGTCGTCTGCTGAGCAGTGACGCTGTTTTTTTTTGCGGATGATAGCGTAGAAGTCATCTACCGCGCCTCTGCAAACATGGTAAACGCACTACAGAAACGAGGCAGCCCCATCAACATTCTAAACCCATAATTATACTGGAGCCGTAGGGCACTAAGCGATCTTTTAGTATAATTGAATAACACTAGCGTATTTCAAAAACCCTTCGAATTAAAGGTGAATCTTCCTGCTGAATGAAAAGTTGCACATGTCGATATAAAGGTGATAGTCTGAACTTTAACTGGTTTTCAGAATTTACTTCTTTGATGATAGTCGCTACAGTTTATATTGATAACAGTATTCGTTAGTAAACAAATATTTTGTATGCCCGTAAAAATACACACAATTTCGTTACGAAAGAAGATATCCATAATATTAACCTTGGAACTAAGTCCAAACTCATGGTACCACGGTTATGGGAAATGTATACGTTTTTACAATAAGATTCTGGAGCATATATTAAGATTACCATTTCCTAAATTTAAAACATTTAAAGTATTTTAATTGAAAAGTCATATTACAAAATTGTAGACTACACGTTAGAAAAAGATGTATGGAAAGACACGAAGAGTCTATATTCCACACAAATATGATTTGAAAACATATTCTATAGCATTTAAGTTTATTTGAAAAGAGCAATCCCTAGAGTTTCTTGCTCGTTCTTCTCAGGGAGGTCAGCGTAGTGAACGAGCAGTAGCTTAAATGTGACGATTTCAAGTGTAAATTTATTTTACCTATGGAATAAATGATTATTTGACTATATACACGCTGTAACTGAACACGTAAAACGCTAAATCGGCAATACATTTAGGTACCTAATGCTAGTTGCGGCAGCTAGTCAAGGGAGGGAAGAATTATGTCAATTTCCTTTTTGATTTCCAGGGCTTCGAATTGATCTGCATTTCGCATCCTTAAACAATTTTAATCAACTCTGTTTTGCTTTCTATCATTCTGGTTACAAACATAACAATATCAAAAAACTAGAGAGCCCGAACAAGTTCTTGAATTTCATTATCTTGATTGTAAAACTAGATAGGCTACCTATGATAAGTTTATTTTCGATTTATCATTTTTATTAAGATTGTCAGGCATCTGTAATCTAGTTTTATTGGCTTATACACTTATCTACTATGACCGATAAAGTCAGCTATAAATTCTTATTAAGTTTGATGAGAAGTAATTTAAACATCCTTCTTATATTCAAACATGCATCATTCTTCTTTCAATAAAACTTAATGCAAATTGTACTATTTACGTGTACGGTAATAAATAATATATCAGTAAGGTAGACTTAATGTCCGGAATACACGAGACTAGTTTTTCAAACTAAGACAGCAAATTAGTACTAGTAAGCTAGCAAGCTAGTAACTCTGGCTTCATATATAATAATAATATGTAATATAATAAGTTTGTTTATTTTCTCCCAGAATATAGGTACGTATTATTATATTGTGTAAGATATCAAGAACATTACATAAAAACAAGAATTATACTATGAGAGACTGGTGCCTAAACTAGACGTAAGGTCTATATTTCAGGTCACCAGGATACCACCCCTTGGAAAATACAAATTTTCAACTTGAAATTATGTACTTGTACATGGACAATTGCGATAACTAAATTATCTACAATAATTAAACTAAAGTTTACAAAGAAAAAATATATAAAAATAAAAAGGCGAAGTATTGTTTGTTCAGTGTTAGTATGGTTAGTAATTGTTAGTGTATATGTGTGTTTTTAAGCGTGTGTGTAAATATATATAGGTGGGTGATTGTAGTGCATGTAATTTGTAATTATATGAGGGGATGTGAGTCTGCGAGGACGAGGGAATTATAATAAGATTAGACGAGTGATGGTATACAGTATATATATACAGAATTAGCTTAATTTCTAGGCTAGTGAGGAAGATAGTACGCTAGCGTCCCAAGCTGGGATAGTTCAATAAATTGGGGTTCTACATAGGGCGCACTATAAGTTTCCGGAACTGGCCACTTGCATAAATAATATTTAAAAAGTAATTACAACACTTGAAAATGGAACCTTTTGGCTGTAGAATACAGTTTGTTTCATCTGACTGTCCACTTATGTCATTCTTTCATGATGAGGGGTGCGATATAATAATTCCGCTTATATCTGGACAGGCTCGTTCCAAATGAAGAACAAGAAGAAATTGAAGACTTTTACCATGTTGTTTTGTCTTCGATGCTAATAAGGGTGTAGCGGGTCTAAAGCATCTTAATATTTTCAGGTGTTCACCCCCACGATGCAAAATCAATGGTAGAAGAAGAGATGTGGACTGAGCTCCAGCAAATAGCCAGCGCGCCGGAATGCGTGGCGGTTGGGGAATGCGGCTTGAATTACAGCAAAGACTTTTCCGAGCCAGCCGTACAGAGAGACGTCTTTAAGAGACAGGTGAGTTTAAATTGCTTTTCCATATTGGAATTGAATATAGAATAGATTTATTTCAGGCATAGACCCACATACATTGTTAGTAACATTTTCACTTAGAATTGGTTAGTATAATTTCTGAGTAAGTCGTCGTTTCCGATTTCCAAAACACAAGTAAGTGCTTTAGCTACTTTGGGATCAGAGCAACGTATGTGGTGTCTAATATTTTTTTATTATTTATTTATTTAATTATTTTCTTATATTAAAACAATAGAAATTAGTATAACAATACTAAGTAAAAATAACCCTGCGGATAGAAATTTTACAATATGCTTAAATATACCTCCCATGTAAGTTGTTGTAAGTCAAAATACTACATTTTGCTTTTTCACTTATTATAGGTTCCATGTTTGAAAGTAAACATAACACTAAGTGGTTTCTTTACTTTTGAATATGGAACCTGTAATATACATAAAAAATGATATATTTATATTGACTTACAATTATATGGACGTCGGGTCCGCGCTAAAAAGTGTCCACACTTGTAAGGCGCTAAAATCGTATACAGAGCGCCAAACTCCGCTTTAGTCTTCATTTGTTCGACTGACAGCGCGATACTGCGATGACATTACAATTTAAATTTCGAATAGGTTGACTTGGGACATTTTTTTCGTGGTTTTTGTATTAGACCCGTCGTCCATTTATTTGTAAGTCAATGTATATTTAAGTTAATTAAAAAGCAAAAAACGATATTTTGACTTACAACTTATGTGGGAGATATCGCAAATAAGCATTGATAACATACAGGTAAAGTGAGGTTATAGAATTGAGATAAATACACAAGTGCGACATCGTGTTACTTTGAGCCGTCGATAAGTAGGTCATATTCACATCACTAACCTATTTAAAGATATTAGTAGAATAATGAAACCACGAAACACATTTTATAAACAAATGACCAATAAATATTTGGTAACTTGCTTGACTGGTAAAAAATGAAAGAGATGATAATATTCTTCACGGACGCACAGCTTGTGTTGAATAGACCGAAATCGAAATGGATTGAAAATTTTGTTAATTTTAAAATTGAAACAGAAACTTGAAATTTGATAAAAGAAGGATGGCGAAAGCTGACCCAAAATCAACGACGCGCCGTTCGTGGACTTTGCTAATATAATTTTACGTTTTAGTTTATGTCTAGTTATTAATATATTTTTGTATATTTTTAGAAGTCGGGAATAAAGAAATTGCAAAACAATCTATTTTAGAATAGATGCAAGAACACAACACAAATTATTTCAGTTCGACCATAGATCAGGTAACGTTCTTGTACGTACTTTTCATTTTAAGCAAGATTGAATGTTTACCTACCAATATTTTAATATTGGTTATTTTATAGTACAAATGTAAAACATTAAAGCCATAAAATACCTAATCAAATAATCAATTAAACAATAATGGCATAAAGTAAAAATAAAACACAATGTGACAAAAATTGTTAGACAATATTTAAAATGCTAGATACGAAAATTAGCAAAGGCACGTTTAGACAAGAGGCCTCTTGCCAATGTCAGTGTCATTTTGAGATTGAGAACAGTGTGACTATTTGTGGCAGATTTCTGCCATTTAGGAAGAAGTTGCTGTTATTTATTATTTTTAGGAACGAATTGAAAACTTGTTCTTTTCTGCTACTACGAACAAATATTCGAAATACAGTAAAATGTTATAAACATAACCTATATCAAGTTTATAACCCCAGCTTCTACAGGCTGTACTCAATTAGCATTTTTGATGCTTTGATAATGAATCACAAGTATTGATAGGTCTCTTTAAAGCACGTCGTCACAAAATGTCACAAAATACACGGGATGTCGCCACCCTTCTTTTACAACATTAAGGTAAGAACGTTCTTCCCAATTAAATTCATCCAACATCTGAATTAGGGGTGGATAGTTAGGAATAACTTGTTCTCTTTTTAACGGACTTTAAAAAACATAATCTCAGTACAGACAACTAAAAAAACCGATCTCAAAAGTACGTGGAATTACATATAATTACCAAGTTTTATTGAAATCGGTTATCGGAAAGTGCGCAAACCCGGATTCATCCCCTAGTTGCAGCTCAACTGTGAGCACTGAAAATCATACTCAAGTCCTTGCCATAAGGGTCGTATTTCCAGTGCTTGAAATCATATTCAAGTCTGCTCAAATCCTGACTTGAGCATTGAGTAGAGTTCTAGAATACGACCCTTAGAGTCGTATTCCAGAACTCTACTCAATGCTCAAGTCAGGATCTGAGTACGATTTCAAGCACTGGAAATACGACCGTAATGGCAGAGACTTGAGTACGATTTCGAATGCTTTAAACCATACTCAAATCCTGACTTGAGCATTGAGTAGAGTTCGAGAATACGACCCTAAGTGTAATTTTCGTAGTATGATTTTCTACGACTTTAAGTGTAATTTAACAGCTCAGCGGAGCCTTGCTCTGCTTCAAACTGCTTTTGGCGATGAAGCTCCATGCAAGACGACTATTTATAGCTGGTTTCCAGAATTCAAACGCGGTCGTGTGAATCTCAGTGACGAATTTCGTGATGGTCGTCCGTCCACTGTTGTGAACAACAAAAACATCGATGCTGTGCGCCGTATGATCAAAACAGACAGGCATGTGACATACTATGAGATTCGGGCATCTTTAGGCATAGGCATGTGTCAAATACAATCAATACTACACAAACATTTGGGTGTGAAAAAGCTGTGCCCTCGGATTCCACACAATTTGACTGAGGCTCAAAAAACGGATCGCGTCTCTTGGTGCAATGCCATGCTTACCAGATTCAACGAAGGGGCGTCAAATTTGGTGTGGGACATAGTAACAGGTGACGAAACATGAATTATAGTTATGATCCTAAAACAAAGCAGCAACGAGCGTGTGGCTCTTTCGAGGTGAATCGACACCAATCAAAGTGACGCGCGCGCAAAGTGCCTCTAAGCGGATGATTGCTTCTTTTTTTTAATAAAACTGGACACGTGGCTACATTGATACACGACCATTTGTTTGCCGGAAGTTATTGACAAACTCCGTAAAAATAACCGCAAACGCCGTATCATCTTGCACCACGATAATGTCAGTTCTCACAGGGCTAGACAGACAAATGAATTTTTGAAGGTGAACAACGTTGACCTTATGAGCCATCTCGCGCACAGTCCCGACCTGGCAACTTGTGAATTTTGATTTATTTTCAAAAATTAAGAACCATTTACGCGGTCAACGATTTTCATCACCTGAAGAGGCTGTCGAAGAGTACGAAAAGTATGGTTCAGAGATTGTCACGGAGGAGTGGCATAAATGTTTTCAAAATTGTTTCATTCGTATGAAAAAGTGCATTTACGCTAACGGAGAATATTTTGAAAAACAATAAATTCATTTCTGACCATTGATAGTATTTTTTTCTTATTCGTTCTGGAAACTTATAGTGCGCCTCACGTATCGTGTATATTATATTTATCATGTATATTATACGTTCAATATTTTAACGTAAAGAAATCACTTAATGTTATGTTTACTTGCAAACATAGAACGCTTAGAATAATAACGCATAGAATGATAGTTTCATATCAAACGAACTGTCACAAGTGAGGCAAAAATCAAATTCATGTAGGCTAGTTTTAGTAGTTAGTTCATTTTCGGTTTTAGTGAATATTTATATAAAAATAGAAGTTGAAACGCGTTACTTCCTTGTGGAATGTGATGTTAGTATCTATGTATTTTGTTTGTCTGACGTATTTTTACACTCATTTACCGCATATTTCGTCATTTTTAGCTAAAATTCTGGAGCTGTTCGCGGTGCAAGTTGACCTTGAGCACTGAAGGCCCGCCCGCTCGTGTAGGCCCTTTGGGAGCGCTTCAATTTGCCTCACTTAGCGTGTGCGGGCTAGGTTTCTATGCGTTATTATTCTAAGATGGAACGTATAATATACAAAAGAATATATTAAAGTCAAAAAGCAAAAGAATTGTATTTTTCTCAAACATGCTCGGAAATGTTTGCATTACTTTCAAAAAACGAACACGGAAAGTTTGTCATTTATGGACCGTGCGACTTCTTCCCGGCCAAGGCCTGCAAAGTATGAAAATCCATTACTGTCCTCTTCTCTAAACTTTTAAATCTACCTACTAATAATGAACTATGTAAACAGGCAAAAGAAAAACTCATACAGCCAACTGCCCAGAGTTCATAACTGCGAGAATTAAAAATACCTACCCGTACCGCTTACTTTAAAAAAAAAAGAAAATGGCGGTAACATTTAGACTATAGTGTTCTGGTATTCATTTTTACTCGTATTAATACAAAGCCTCGCGCTCGTCCTTGTAACTCATACTCGTCCAGCAATCCTTTTCTTCCCGGCCTCTGCAATAATGTGCTATTAACTTACAACAACTTACATGGGAGGTATCGATTAATGATCCCTATGACTTTTCGGACTGTCATTTCTCGGATTCGGAAATGATTTTTTTTTTCTTCTTTCCATAAAGGAAAAGGCAAAGGTTTTACACCATACAGCCAAGTCTTGGTACATTATTTTTGAGCAATGTCTTCGTTTAATTGTTTCTGTAAATATGGCCGCCACAAGGAGGATAGGCAATTTGAGGCGGCGTGTTTGGATTGACTCGGGATTCCTTAGAACGGGCCGATACGTGATTTTAGTTCGAGATTCGTATAATTTAATCTTCGATTAAGGCACAATAGCACTATCCTATTCCACTTTAAACTAGATTTCACAAAATAATTGAAAGTCAAAATAAAAACGACACTTTTCCCTCCAAAAGACCCAGAGCGAATCCGATTCGGAAATGATAGGAATCGGACGTAGTGCGCAAATTCTCTTATATTCTACTGTTACATTCCTATTTACATTGAGTTACGGCTGCATTCAATATAAAATATTGAACATTAATTAATAAATATAAACTGCATTTCAGAGTCATACAATAGTGGTGGCATATAAAAAAGTCTGTAGTTCAGCTAAATGACTCGGTGGCCTCTCAATCTTGAGAAGAACTATTGTAGAATTTATACCAATGCAATGCAACAAATTAACCCGGGGCACTACTCAAAACACCCGGATCGGAGGCAATTTAAAACAAATAATCAGGAAAACAAAAGGAGTCAGTAATCATGGCAACGTAAAGAGCCCAAAACGCTGAAGTAATATCATTTCCAAACATCATTAAAAATAACAAGTTTTCACATCTCAAGTAAACGGAAACCAACTTCCTATCTTACCACGTGTGGTATAACAACTTGTGCAATACAATAAACTTGTTGTAATAAGTAGGTGAAACATCTGATTATTATCCAACGGAATGTTGGAATTTTTACGCCTTGGTGGGCTGTGTTGTATTATGTTTGTTACATAATCTTTTGGTAAGACGCTAAATGTATACACTGGGTCTTTGAAGGAACTTTTTTTGTTATTTTTATTGAATATCATAATGTTTAGGACATTAAACAATTTTTTCGGACTATATGACTATTTTTTTTTAATGACACTTGACAACTTCGAGTATGAAGCTTCATTCGCATCATGCGTCTTTTATTTTGATCGAGTGCTACATAATATTATATTATAGCTGTAAATTGCCTCCGTGGCCGAACGGTTACCATGCCGGACTGCCACGCAGAGGTCCCAGGTGCGATTCCCGGCCGGGAGAAATATTTGTATGGCCTACATTTATTTCTCTTCTGAGTTTGGGTGTAATTTGTGATTGTCTATGTGTGTGTCCATGGCACCCGCGAGAAATGCTGACACTTAAACTTGGAAGTTGCGTGTACCTGTAGTTTCTTGCACCCACACCCTTCAAAAACGGAATGCAGTAATGCTCATATTCATTCATCACTCTTACTTTAATATGAGGCGACAATTTAAGGGACAACGAAACAAAAGAATTTGAGTTACATTTTTAACCGACTTCAAAAAAGGAGGAGGTTCTCAATTCGACTGTATGTTCTTTTTTTTTTTTGTATGTATGTTACGCGATAACTCCGGTATTTGTGAACCGATTTTCATGATTCTTTTTTTTGTTGGAAAGGGGGTATTTCCATAGTGGTCCCATTTCGTTTTGAAAAAAATCATCCACCTCAAAGGGTGGCTGTTCACGCATGAAGATTCATTTTTATAAATAGCGCCTAACTTTAATTTAGGAGCAATTACTTTTAGCAATTATTTAGTTGATTTTGCTATTTCTCCAATTCAATGCGTTTTTCTCTCGATATACTTTGAGTAGTGTACTAGTGAGAACCTATTTTTATTATCTCCAATATCAAGTCCTGTACAGTGGCGAACTATACAGGATATTTATTATATTATACGGGATATTTCAATGAAACTTAGCAAATAGACGTAATTCCACGTACTTTTGAGGTCGGTTTTTTTTAGTAAGTACTCTGTACTGAGATTATATAATTTCAATTTATGTAGAACATAATAACAAAAGTCAAAAACATTGTTAGTGGCTAAAACGGTAACCTGAAAAGCCAAGAACAAAAAAAAATTTGAATTTGAATTTTCACTAAAATTAGAATGTTGATTTTTGACGTCGACCTCGTGTTCATTTGTTTCTAGGGGAATTCCAATTTTAATTATTTGTTACAGTCATTGTGATAAGATTGATTTTTGTTTGCCTTGCTACATCTAAAACTGAAATCGGGCAGAAATCTTTGTTACCATTTTTACCTTAGTTCAACTAAGCTAGTGACCGCTCGCTTTGTACGCATTGTGGTATAATAAACCATATAATAGGCCCTGTACGTACCTGTGTACTCAATTGACTCATTCAGGGATTGAATGTAGGCCACAAACTCCGTGTCACCTTATATTCCATTGACTCATTTTATCAGTGTACCTAAATTGCGCGTGCGTTCATGATCTTCTTTTATAATGTTGACGAATTGTTGTTATCAAATAGAGGTCATTATGAGGTGAAAAAGTTATTTTCATGCACGTAAATAATATGATTGCATGTAGGCTAACTTGACTATAAAATAAAGATAAAGATAAATTGATTTCTGTATAAAATATTAACCTAAATACATACATAAATCTTATTAAATAACCTATTATTTACATATATGCGCCAAATTGTCGCAAACAATGAAATTATTTTAAGTTTACATTGCTTTAATTAAGGTTAGTAGTGCAAGTTAATCTAGGTGATACCTAAACTAAGTAAAATTGTTTACTTGTGTCTTAGGTACCTAAATTGGTGATTATAGCATAACGGTTAGTCAACATATTTTGTTCAATAACAATAAATTACAATAATACATAAATCTTAATTATAATAGCTGGCGTCTTAATTATATTTATATTACTTAAAAACTGATATAAAATTTTCAGTGTGATATAATAAAATATAATACATAATATAACAAAATATAGGTTCGATGGTTCGAATCCGGGCTTGCATTCTAAGTTTTTCGGAAGTTATGTGCGAAAAGACTTGTACGGAATCAGCACGGAGCTTGGTACTTACTTTATTCCCAGAAAAAATTGACCACTCTCGTTTTTTTTATAGATAAAGAGCTTAGCAACATAATAAAAAAAAATAGTGTCAGCTGCATTTTTGTTTTAAAAAGTGTGGTAGATATGCTAAATGAATTACCAGGAAGAGTCCAAAAAGCAGCAACACTTAAACGCGAAAATATTCAAAATCTTATGCCGGGTGCACGAGTCTTCACTTGCTTCGCTTGCTTGCGTTGGCTGGGTCACGGCGTAGAAATCTGCCTTCCACGCAAAGGCGTTCTCGAGTCTCCCGCTTTGCATTGTGGAGAGACTTGCGCTCATGCGCGGCGCCTTGCCTTTGTTTTGGTTTTATTGGTCGCGTGGACGCTGCTCCTCCGCAAACGTCGCGTGGAAATATCAAACATGCTAGATATCAAACACACGCACCGTAAAGAAATCCAACGCAAAGCTAGCGGCCGGCGCCAGCGAGCAACTCGTGAACAAGGCACAAGACAGATCTTTGCGTATGCGCGAAACGAGTCACGGAAGCAAGCGAAAAACGTAAGTAAAGAACTCCTGCACCGGTGCACCCGGCATTAATTATAATTGGCTAATTAAATTGCAACAAGAATGACGTTGACATCCGTTCTGTCAATATTTTTTTTGGCATAGGCCATCCGTTCCGTTTCGTGGGATTGCGTTCCGTTTTACTTTATATGGTATTAAAAATCTCTAACGATTTTCTGGAATTTGCAGGTCAAACATAGTCTGTTTTTAGTTCAGACTTTATAGATTTTGAGAGTTCTTTAGAAAAAAAACCAACTAATAGCCTGGTTATATTTTTCCTTTTATTTTAGAATCACTAAAGGAACTGCTTTATTTTGAAATTTACCATAAGATTTTCGGTGAAACAAGACGTTTGTTAGAACAATTTGCAAAGTAATTTAATGACGTTTGAGAAAATCTCAAATAGCATTGGGCCCACGTGGGAACTACAGCTGAAGCTCTCTCGCTATGAGAGGAGGCTTGTGCTCAGCAGCGGAACTGTGGGCTAAGCTCACATTGCTGCTTGGCGGCAGAAATAAGTACTTCCCTGGATGACCAATTTCACATTTTTTTCTATGATACCACGTGACGGGACGAACGAGTCGTGGGCCTGGTGGTAAATGACACACCTGTCTATAACAGTTGCTGTGCTACTTAGAGCTTTAAATCGCAAAGATCTTAAGGGCATTGCCACTGCGCCCGTCACCCTGAGATTTAAGTTGACAAGTCTCATGTGAGTCTCATGTGCTTGTAATTTCAACAGCACCCTTACCCTTCGAAACCGGAGAGCATTACTGCTTGGCGGTAGAAATAGGTAAGGTGTCTGTACCTCTCAGGACGAGAGGTACAGACTAGACTAGACGAGAGGCTCCACCTATACAATTGCTTTGTAATTGCATATAGACAGGGTAATCATATTCCAATAGGTGAAGCGTCTAATTGAGTTAAGGGTACTTATATATAAGATGGTACGTAACACTGAGACATTAAACTTTTAATTACAGATAGAAATGGCCTGCGGTCTTCGCAAACCTTTAATCGTACACGAAAAAGAAGCTCAAGACGACGTAATAAAAATCCTAGACGATTTCGGAACAAGATTACCTGCGGTCGTTATCCATTCGTTCACGGGCACTGTGGAACAAGGCCTTAAGTATATAGAGAAAGGGTTTTACATTGGTATAACTGGGTATATTTGTAAGGACAAGTCCGATGGAGGTATACGACGGTTGCTTTCGGAGAGAATGCTCCCGTTGGATAAGTTGCTCGTGGAAACTGATTCGCCGTTTATGTACCCAAATATGAGAGCTTCGAAATTGCCGCTGCACGTCAAAGATTCGTTGACTGAGAGGTTAGTGTAACCAGGGGAAATAAATCATCGAATATATAACCAGAAATAGACGAAATGTCATTTAATTTGTTTGAAAACTATTCTGCCAAATCAAACTGCGCTCCTGTTGGCCAGCCCGAATTCGAAACAATTGACGGGTGACGTCAATTGTTTCACTTCAAAAAGACCAGTTTAACCATTGACTTACAATTATATGGACGTCGGGTCCGCGCTAAAAAGTGTCCGCACTTGTAAGGCGCTAAACTCGTATACAGAGCGCCAAACTCCGCTTTAGTCTTCATTTGTTCTACTGACAGCGCGATACTGCGATGACATTACTATTTAAATTTCGAATAGGTTGACTTGGGACATTCTTTTCGTGGTTTTTGTATTAGACCCGTCGTCCATTTATTTGTAAGTCAATGAGTTTAACCGATGAAATGTGACTCTGTTTGTTTTGTAATTAGATGTTTTGCTGTTTTTCCCACACCACCGAATGGTACAGTCGCCCATTGTTAAGAGATATTATCTTTATTACAATAAATACAGAATAGTTTTGTAATGTACGGAGACGTACACACAGGTTAGTTGTTGCTGTACTATTTCAGCTTTCTAACTTGTGATTTCAGTGCAAACTAGAGTTGATATTTAAAAATGATGTAAGCCCATTTGCCTGATAAGTTGCCAGGGATGGACGGCCCTTATTTCGTCTCTATTTCTGGTTATATATTCGTTATTGCACACGGGCGAATACATAATAATACAAAAAAGTTAAAATAACAGGTACAATATATTGCTAAATAGCAATCTCTTCTGAAGTTAATTTATTAAATAAAAACAAATATTAAAAAGAAAAACACAAATTTACAATCTGAAGATAAGCAATAGGCTTCGTCAATAATAATGTACCAAAAACACAAGAACCTGGTTTTACAAGAGATTTCTTCAAACGTTTCTAATTAAAAAATAATCCATCCTGTATCATGTCTGTCTCAAAAGTTACCATTACACTACTACTACTTATACTTTGCTAAATAGCAATCTCTTCCAGGCAACCTACAAATAAATAAATTGAAGTAGGATTATATAAAACACAATAATTATTACTATTTACAACACACAACATTGGAAACAGGTAAGAATTGGTGAGAATAATAATTAGAGTATAAGACACTTCCCTCGGGAAGACTCTGCGATTAGGTAGGAACTCAGGCTATGGGAGAGGCGATGGTTTAGTGCGAGTTAGTGGGACGTTTTTTTTTTTTTAACGCTCACAATCGACATAGCCCCGCACTAGGGAAACCCTGTGTCGCGGGTGCCATGGACACACACATAGACAACCACAAATTACACCCAAACTCACGAGAGAAATAAATGTAGGCCATACAAATATTTCTCCCAGCCCGGGAATCGAAACTGGGACCTCTGCGTGGCAGTCCGGCATGGTAACCGTTCGGCCACGGAGGCAGTTCTGTTTAACGGGCTGATGTGTTTGGATTTTTAACCTATGAATAAATAGTCTTCTTTCATATTCCAGGTCAATGAACTTCGTAAACCGTTACTGCACTTTCCAGCGAAACGAGCCATGTGCCTTGCCAGCCATAGTGGAGCTCATAGCAGGATTCTTAGGTCAGAAACCGGAGGACGTCGCGCTTGCCACTGCCTTCAACGCCTTGAAGCTGTTCGGGCTGAGCCAGTAGGTTTACGCAACTTCATAGTCACTGAATTAAAAAAAAATGCCCACGATAAAATGCCTACCGAGCTTGAAAGTAAAATAAATTATATATCCTTCTAAACCCAGGAACCTATAATGGGAATAGCTAGTATGTCCATAATTTTGTATGAAAAACGTACTGCCTTATTTGTCATAACTAACGCATTAGCATTGCGCTAACTAAGGTTTTTTCTTAACAAACACGTCAATTACTCTGATATTACTTAATAAAACAAACTAAATGACATATATTTAGTAGTAATGATACGGCTTGGCGGCCTAGTGGGGAGAGTCTGCTTGCGAACCCTGTGGTCGCAATTTCACATCCGGCTTAATTAGGTTTGTTTTTTTTTTAGAAATTTGTTGAAGCACCTATATGATTTAACCATTCGTTTTTAATTCAAAAATGCGTTTATTTTTTATTTTACATATTTAAACCTTCATATTATTAATATTTAAATGTAATATTACGATACTCGTTGCCTATAGCATTGCTTATACCGGTTAGGGGGTTATATCGTCGGGGATAATGCGCGTAACGAATTACGCGTAACTAGCATTTGATTATGAGTCTCCATTTCGGTAATTTAGTCGCCAAATCAAGTTAGTGTGGTTTACGGGAATATATTGTTTTCATTCCGTAGACAATATAAATTAATGCTTATTGTGCAAAAATGAGTGTCGTCCATTTAAATAACAAAGTAATAACGTTAAATCCGATACGCGCTTTTTACCAATGCTACATACGCGGATTTCTTTACAATTCATTAGTGTTTTCGTTCCGAATCACAGAAATACCTATAGGACCTTATAGTACTTATAGGTCAGAATAAAAATTAAGAAGCAGACCTGGAAGAAGGTGTAGACAACATAAATTAACGTTTACTGTTTAAAAATGAGTGTCGTAATGATTGAAATAACAAAGTAATGTCGTTAAATCCCTTGGAACGCGGATTTGCACCATCGTCGACCATAATATGTTTAAATAATGAATTTCGCTAAAAATCTGGATAACTTTAGTTATGATAGATGGGCAGCGTGTTTTTCTAAATATCCTATGACTATGTAGAATAAATATATGGCGCTAAATATGAACGCATGCAATATTTTTACGTGATCATGGGAATTATAATGGGTTAGAATGACTTAACACTGTATATGGGATCTTACAAGGATATTGCACTGCTATTATAATATAACAGTGTTGTAACTCAAAATACGTAGAAATTAATATTATACGCGTCAATAAAACTGTACTTAGAATATTGTAAACAACAATTAAAATGCATGTGTCTACTTAACTTAAAATGAAACAAAGTTTAAATGAGCTACTTTTGGAAAAACAGTTCTTGCTCATAATTTATGAAATTAGTTTTCGCTTTTTTTTTTCAAATATGTTTGGCTACTTGGTAGTCGTTTAAATGTTTGTAATAAACAATGACCTATAAACATTTTATTATAATCTTTGACGGGAAATTAGTAATTGCGTTTTCATAGATTCTGAAAAATACGCTTTTTGAGTTAACACACTATTGTATTAACAGTTTTTTTAAGAAAATTATAGTTTCATAATTTTGTATGTATGACGGGAATTTTCAACACAGCTTATTTGAATGTGTTGGTATTTTGTTCAATTCCACACATTGCAAGATGCAAACATCATCAAAATGCAGATCTCTTAAGTCATTATATGAAGTTAAATTACATATGTGCAGAGTAAATTCGCGTCAATATATAAAAGTTATTAACCTTTGTCGTGGGCATTGAAGAAGTTTTTACTAAACAACCGTGTCTTGTCTCTCTTTACAGTGCACATTTGTTGTTGAATGTAGACTTGGGAATAAGAATATATTGAAGCATTATTGTATTTAATAGTATATATGGTAAATGACTTTATTTATTGTTCCTAGCAGTTATGTTTATCGGAAATTTATATTTATGTTCTATGTTGCCTCTTTAAAAATAAATGCGAATTTGACCTCCACTGACCTGATGGCAAGTGACGATGTAGTCGACCATGGAGCATGCACACCTAAATAATGCCTATTCACTTTCATCTTGAAAAGATCCAAGTTATAACGTTACCAGGTCATCCTGACATCTATAAGGCTCAAAGTACATTACTGCGGGACGGAATGGCAGTGAATTTTTGTATTGTGTAACGTACTACGAGCATAAAAATCTCGTCTATCCTAGAATTTTCGCATAAATTGTAAATTGCAGTGTTAAATCTGTTTACCATTGTTGCCTACGGTGCACCAGAAAAGAAATGGTACACCGTGTGAGGAGGCTCCGTTTGTGAACCTCAAGAAGAATGATATAGTAATATTGGTGGTAGTAAAGATACCAATAATGTTAGATCTGTCTTTAGATGTGCTGTAGTGGGCTCTTATAGTAAGATGAAGTAGTCAAGTTATTTCTTTTTGAAGTAAATTTATTTATAACTTAAGAGCGGGTACACAAAGCAATGCAGTCGTTAATCGTCTACCTTAAACACGCGCGTGATTTTAATATCATGGCTCGCTCAAAAGTTCCCATTATACTGGCAGCTTTGCATCGCCGGATGGCAATGGACACCTGTTGAACCAACTACGAGAGTTTACTTCTACGATATTGTTAAAATTTGTTGAAAAATTCCCAAGTCTACAAACATGAATTGATAATTCGTAAAATTTAATATTATACGTATATAAATTTATTATTAACAAAAATGTAATGTTTGTGCCTTAACGATCATAATTACGGAAATCGAAATTATATACGAAACGAATAGGCTAATCATAGCATTTAATGATTCTTCAGACGTCATTGATTGGTGACGTGATAATAGCGTGGGGGACTTGATGTCATTAACATTAAGGAAGGTTTTCGTGTGACCGAGACGCTGCCAGTCTCGTTTATATTTGTCACTTTATGGTGGAAAATAAGATAGCTGATATGTTGTTCTCACTATGCTCAATAGATGGCGTTCACTGTACTTTAAAACGAACTAATTAAAAAAACGTAACTCTTGATTGAATGTTTAGAGGCGGCATCTGTTGGCACAATATTGAACTATGTAGTGGAGAATTACTGTTAAATCATATATCCTATATAAGGCCGAAAAACCGATTGGTCTGCTTACATGTAGCTGAGGTATTCAGTTTTTCAATGGAGGCTTATACTTTAGGTTCGGAAGTATAGGAGGTATACTTTAGGTTTGAATTTATCAAATTAAATAAACCGATCTTAGTTATTGTCAATTGAAGTTATTGTCCACGGAACCCTTTAACAGCCCATTTTCCAAAAGTGGTAGTAATTATATTGACTCTGGATATTTTTAAGATCTCGCCATCCAATTATCACGTCACTAATCGTAAACAAACTCGACTATTGAAATACTCAAAATGTTATTTAATGCATTTCCTGACAACGATCACAAAAATTTTCTTAATCAAAAAAATTGAGGCTAAAATTAATATATCGCTATCTTGCCATTGACTAAGATTTTGACTGATTTTTGTGCATCCTGAAAAGGGGCCGTCAATGAACGACTGTAGAACTATTTTATGAATACCCCCCGGCAGTCTTCGTCTTTCGGCTTTCGTCGGATTTCTATTTATTGCAATATAGTGCCGACCGGACGCACTTAGTCGAAAGTGTACTAGTTAATGTACTTCTGAATTCAAATTATTATAGATTATAAACATGAAAATTTATATTTCGGGCGTTCGGAAATCTGAATATAGCCGAGAGATATTAATAAAATAGTTATTTGGAGGGTACTAAACTTCTGAGGCTTTAGATTTGTTTATGACGCGAGATCAGCCTATATTGGTTGTTCTTTCTTCACAACCCTCGTCCTGGAGCCATGGTAGACTTAGCTTATTTACGTCTATTGAAGACCCTTGGTCTATAGTTTGTGGCGTTTTTAACGATGGCCCCTGATGGATTACGCTGTAGAGGTAGAAGAAATTATTCTAAGGAGAATCGAGAAAACAATTTTAGTTTTCGTACCTGATTACAAAACGCCACTATTGGTACGACGCATAATTTAATATTTAAATAAAAAAGCAATTGTATTGTATTTTTTGAAATTATTGAACGATTGAGGTTTTTTATGTTTATAGTAGTTAGTTATCTGTGATGCACTTGTCTTTTTTCACGTTAATTTATGTAGTTATTTCTATCACTCATGTATTTCTAACTGTTCGACGGCATGTCTGGTTAAACCAGCTCTGTGTGGAGCACGCGTGTCACACAGAAAAATGTCCCCAGAAAAAAGGTACCCCGTACTTATCATATTCTGATTTTACGGTAAATGTCGTCATTATTCGTGAACGGGTGAAAAGGTTTTAATCTAGGTGAAGGTTTTAAATTAAACTCCGTTCGTTAACTGAAAAAAAAACATTGTTTCAAGGAAAATTGCTAATGTAAGAAGTCGTAAGTTCGATGTCTGGTTTTATAAATGTAAAATTACAAAAAAGTAACATGTAAGTTTTGCATGAGTGGTAAATTTTGCATATTTTTTTAATGGTGGTGGCAATAGTCTGCTGTAAGTCATTAGTCAGAATGATCTCAAATATTGACTTGATTGCGTTGTATACCTACATGTTTGAATAATATTTTCATTAGTGATATATTCACGTATTTTCATATAAATTAATTTATATTTTTAATAACACTCGTGATTTCAAATCGAGTCAGTTATAAACCCTATTCGTTTATTAATTTGAACGTAAAATAAGTTGTCTATTGCCACCAAATTTTGTTCGCACGGTGTTTGGATTCTTTTAATATCTATTTCAGTACACTCTTTGAAATAGCTTTATATATTTTAGAATTAGTATTATAGGAAGGAAGAAAGGACCAAAAATATATATGACTGTAGAACAGTGAGATTTGGAATTGACGGATGAAACAATAAATGATTGCGATTATGTATCTAATTATCGCCTATAAGTCGCCATTTTGATTTAACTCATGAGGTGTGACATTATTTAATGTAATTTACTAACAACGACAGAAATATATTTTTTGCTGTTAACAAAAGGCAGCTAAAGAAGTAATATGTTGTTATCAAAAAGCAGAATAATTTTTGTAAAGTCGAATTTTTCGAATATACTGTAAATATTTATTGTAATGTTGATAGTATGAGGTTGTAAACCTTAGTTGTAAATACGTTCAAGGTTATACAAATCCAAAGTGTAAATGTTATCTATAAAAGTTTGCTTCTTGACTTTTTAGAAGGAAGTACAGTGGATGCCCTATTATACCTGACCCCCAACGGACCATTTGATTATGGGGCCTACTACCGTTCTCCGTTCGGACGGATCCGAAACAATTACTGTCAAATAATATTCGATCCGATCAAAAGGCAACGTCAAGTAAGAAGCTTCATTCGCATTATGTGACTGCCTCCGTGGCCGAATGGTTACCATGCCGGACTGCCACGCAGAGGTTCCACGTTCGATTCCCGGGCCGGGAGAAATATTTGTATGGTCTACATTTATTTCTCTCGTGAGCTTGGGTGTAATTTGTGGTTGTCTATGTGTGTGTCCATGGCACCCGCGACACAGGTTTTCCCTAGCGCGGGGCTATGTTGAGTGTGTGCGTTATTTATTATTATGCGTTTTTAATTTGATCGAGTATTACTTATTTGACAGTAATTATTTGCCCTCGGAATATCGGATGTCGGGTAAATAAATGTGAAAAAAAAGTGTTAAACAAGTTTGAAACTGATTTTCTTACGCCAATTTGATCTATAACGTATACTAATTAAGTACAGAATACAAAGGCTGCTGGCCCGTAATCTAACCCGTTTATCAATAATCACATTAGACGTAAATTATGAACCACTTTCTATGTAAAAAATTATTGAAAATCTACGGGGTCATTTATTTGTTTTCAGGTTACAATAGACCCATAAACATATAGTACCTTATAAACTAACATATATCATTTATTATTTTGGTTCTGTAAAAGTGCAATAAATATTTGATAATAAACATATTAATAAATGTTTGAAAAGTAATTAGTTTACTGTAGGTCAGACTTATTGCCAAAATAAATATTGTAACGCACGGTCAGTTGTAGTAGGATGTAAAACCGAAGTCGTTCTCTGCGTGACCAATGAATAAATACGGAACACACAAATATTTATCACCTACATTTTTTAATATAAAGATACATTTTTAATTTCATAATTCCCGGTCCCATAGCGACACGTACCTTTGCAAAGTACAAGAAATAGATTTCTCAACAGATGGCGCTACGGTAGAAAAGTCTTTAAAACAACCAAAACAAAGATCTGCAACAAGCACATAGAAAAATTCGTAAGGTCCCAATTTTTTATGTGAAATTACTCCTCTAGTTTGTTATAATAATTATTATTATTAATATAAAGATCGAACACTTAGAAAAAAAACAGTGAATAGCGACATCTCTAGCCGGGGCTGGTAGCTGTAAAGATATCTAAGTGGGTGACGAAATACTTTCGTAGATGGCGCTACGGCTAAAAAGTTGAAAAACGACAAGCACAGAAAAAATCGTGAGGTCCGCTGGTTCGTGGTTATGTGAAATTATTTCAATATAAGTTGCCATTATAGTTTGTTATAATTATTAATACAAAGATCGAATACTTTGGTGGGACATGATTTTTCAATCATAAATGCGTAAGAAAGCCCTCAGATCCGAAAGGTCAGTTAGGTCAGGTATCTTAGGCATCGACTGTACAATTTCCTAAAAAGCCAATTGGGAGATAATAGTGATACTGGATGGATGTATAGCGTATTACTTTGTGTGGCCAAAGCCGTTTATGGACAGTAAGCTGTACTTTTTTTTTCAATTACATGTGGTTAGTATACATGACGACAAATAAACCAAGTTAGGGTGTAGTTACACCAGCGGCATTCAAAATCGTGTAACTATGCACTGAGGTTCACGTATTTACAATTAAGTACACCTTGTAGAGCAGTTATATTAATGTTAAAAATAAATATATAAATTTAATGCTGTAGTCACAACGAAATCAAAGACTGCAAGTATTAAACAATAGAGTTTGACTTGTTATAAATTAATTATGTTTTTGTGTAATATTTTTTTACTTATTTAATCGTGTAATTGTAAGCGTGCATAATTGTTATTGATTCATTTATTTTTTGACAATTACTTTGTTGTAGGTGTATAATAAATAGGAAGTGATCGTAATTGCATTTACAAAGTTTAATGACATTTTAAATTGTTTTTCTACAAGTCATTAAATTTTGTAAATATTCCTCTCTAAGCTATGTAGTGCCTTCGACAGAACGTCCTTTTGTGATACAATATTTTCTTACATTGTATAGATTATTTCTTTTAATATACAAAGTAAAGATATTTTATGAGATGTTTTATTTTCACCAATTACCGTGGCTCCCACACCTGAAATCCCACGAGATTACGGTATAATTTTATTATGGTTCCTATATTCACGGGATTGATGTTTACTAACTTTGGAATGAAACTATTTTTCCGGATTTAAATCGCGTATATTTGTTTTTTCAAACAAACCGACGTTTCGGGCCCTTTACAGGTCCAATAAAAAATAGTTTCATTCCTATGTATAACAATCGCGAAAACCTAAGAACTCGATGTTTACTAACTTTGTCAAACATTCTATAAGATTCTAAAATATTTTTCCCATCCTGAATCGCCTCAGAAGATGTACTGTATGTACAAGGCAAAGAAATACTATTTATTTTCCAAATTCACAACGAAAAAAAAAACGCTACAATCAAAATCAAATAAATATTTATTAATTACGTATTGTACGTGTAATAGAACAGATTAAACCCAAAACAACTTTAGTTCTGAGATAAGAAACATCGCGTCTTTATTTAAAATTTCACCCAGTTACGCGTGCCCTATTACAGCGTGACCATGGCTGAGTTTTTGAAATTTGACTAGCCAGAAAAAGTCTCTATTTAGTCGGTCCACCGATCAAAAGTTATAAGGGTGTTTTACTGTCCACGCTGGAATAAACTTATTCCAGCGGCGCCATTTCTCAATTTCGAGAACCACAACAGCTAACTTAGATCTGATTACACAAAAAAAAGTCGTGTGATTTAGTTGGCACGCCGTTTTCAAGTTATTCCGGCGGCACCATGAATATCGAGAACTACAGCTCCTATCTTAGATTTGATTGCACCCAGAAAATGTCGTAAATTAGTCAATTCTAGTCGGAAAATTTTAGACTTAGTCGCCCTAAAGTTCAAAAACTCGACCATGATGGTCACGCTGGAATACGGCACGCATTCCATCTGGGATTCCAAAACAAATTCTTCGTTTTCTACTTGTTGCTTTTTCCTAGTATTTATTATCTTTTCATATGCAGGCTTGAATATGGTTTGAACATAAAAAGATGTACTCGTGGCTCACAACACGTAATTAGTCTTCGTTCCGCAGCAATTTAAATTGTATCTAAGTGTAGTCTTGACCTGGCTATTCTTTAGGATGTCCTCAATTTATATAATAAAAATAAAAATCATTTGTATATAACAAAACTCAATTTATTAAATAACTAGCTATAGCTACGTATATACAATTCTACCAAGTATTTGGTATCGATAATATAATGTACCACATTTCGCCACGACAAAACGACCATGTTTAACAAATATTTTTTTACAAGTGGTACGTTCAATAAATATATTTTTACAGGAGGTACGTCCAACAAACACACTTGTACAGGAAGTCCGTTCAACAAATACACTTATACAGAAGGTATCTCCAACAAATGTAAGATAACAATTTGATCTTCTCTAATTCTTTAACACAAAAATATTGGACTGTTCTTCAAATGTTTTATAGGTGGGGCAATACATGGAATGGGCGCTCCAACGCTTTGTTTCTAAAAAAACACCTATAATATTTCTTTATTATATTTGATTTCCAAGGTTTTCACTGTCAAACGAAAATATAAATTCACAGTTTTTTTTTCCTGTTTCGTATCAAAAGTCACTGCAATATTTAACTTTTATCAAGTTTTCTAACGATGCCGGGCGGCGGTGACGTAAGCACTTTCCTCGATAGCCTGGCCTGGCCTGAGACGGGATCGCGGCCGAAGTACTTGACTTGGATCTCGGAGCCCACGTCCAAGCCCAACACTGATGGGTGCTGGATCTGTTGATTATTAATTAGAGCAAAAGTGATTAATGCCCTGTGTATAGTCATTTGCAATACGTAATACAGTTCATTATGCTATACAAAAATTGGCTTCCATACCATTCCCCGTCAATATAATTGAGTCTTCATCAATAAATGCCTATTTATTCTAGCTAATAAGGACAAAGCAAAGAGCTTGGTGTCAATTTGTAATTACTTTCTTTCATTCTGGCCTTCAACGTTACTGTTGCTTAGTATGAAATATTCTGTATTGCATATTAAAAATTGCAGTGATAACACAGAAAGTATAACAGAGTGACCTAATGTACAACAGGCGGCCTTTTTGCTAAGTAGGAATTTCTTCCAGGCAACCTTCAGATAGAAAGGACAATGGTAAACTCCCATATAGATTTTTGTTGACATAATTTGAATGCTGCTAAAAAATGCTAATGTTTATGAAAAAGATGTGAAAATATAGAGTTGAAATTCCTGAACAAATGTTCTGAGGAATTAAAAATATTCCAGTTTGAAGTTTTGGAGGTTATGTGTTACGTGATTGAATAAAATAAATAAACTACAGAAGTCTTAAACAGAGTTAACAGAAGTTGAATGGTGCCGGGGGATTGTGACGTGACGAATGTTCAGAAGAAATTATTTTGTATACTGGTATGGTCAAAAGGCATGGAAGTTAAGCCATAAAAAATAACTTGAGTTAATTAATAACATACCACAGACTATTGCACTGTTAACTCGAAAACAAATTATTTTTTGTGAAACGTGCCATCTATCCCTGATTTTGGAAACTTTTTGTTAGTTTTTTCCAATGTCTCGCGTGGCGTTTTGGAGAAGAAATTATCGACTTTATTTTTTGTAATTGCTTTATTAGCTTATTACAAATCGGTCGAATCAGTACATTTGATATTACATGAACTAAATACCATATCTATACGTATGTACTGAAATTACTTTTTTGGCGACTAGATGTCGCTCACCGTTAAGAAACTGATAGTTGTAGATATCAGTCCATTTACATATTAATTAGTCATTAGAGTTTCTTTTAAATATGATTTTATTTCCAGACTTGTATAGGCCGCTATTATAATTTGAGAAACGTAATGAATATATTTTATTCAAACTTGTAATTAAGACATTTAAAGACGCTAACGAATTATTTTAAGAGATTTTTTAAGAGCTGAAAAGGGGGCAGCAACAAATATCTTCCAATATAGATCCTGTCATAATACAAACTTACCTTTCTATGATCAAGTTGGCTATTATGTACGAGCGCAGGCGCCATTCCGCTGTACAAAGTGACAAGTACTCCGATATCTTTAACTTCGACTATTTTGGCTTTATATATAGCACCAAATTCCAAATCCGGTGTCCGTTCGGCCGACAGCCATGTTTGTATGCGAGCTTGTGCCTCGTCCATTGCCGCTTGAGACGGCGCGAATATGCTGTATCTTGTTTCGTCTATTGGCGTTACCTGTATAAAAATTAATTCGTAATTATGATATATTAATTTTTTTATATTCAGTTATTTTTTATTTTTTATTCCACTAGTTTGTTATAATTATTAATACAAAGATCGAATACTTAAAAAAAAAAAACAGTGAATAGCAACATCTCTAGTCGGGGCTAGTAGCTGTAAAGAAATCGAAGTGGGTGACGAAATACTTTCATAGATTTGTTATAGATGGCGCTACGGCTAAAAAGTCATTGAAAAACAACAACGAGCACATAGAAAAATTCGTGAGGTCCGCTGGTTCGTGGCTTAGTTGGCATAGCTTCTGGCACGGTTTGATAAAAGACGTCGTTTTGAATCCGGCCGGATCGAAGGAATTTTTTCTAAGTGAGTTAATAATTATAACGAATTAAGACATAGTTAATTATAAGAGACGAGCAGAGTGATTTGAGGGTAATTAGAACGATAGGAAGCGTCATGCCAGGCCCTATACTCTCGTACTCTGTCCGACATCTGTCCGAAACAATTTTTTTTATAATATCAAGTGAAAATTACTGTCAACTGTAGTCTCAAATTAGTGAATTATAACTGTCTCTGTAGTCAAACGGTTACCATGCTGGTCTGCCACGCAGAGACAGTAGCGGTAGAGCTCGTTGTGAAAGTTCGTCCAGTGAACTACTGCCACTTTATATAGAAATTTGAAAGATTTGAAAACTCAAATATTTGCAATTTAAAGCTCTAAGGCACTGCGACTGCCATGGACCGGCGTGTTTTTACCATCATAAAAAAAAAAGAAATTATCGACTGTGAACTGGCAATCGATACTATCTCAATTTCGACAGCTTTACAGGAAGAAAAAAAAAAATTGTTTGCGTCAATTATATAGCATCTGGTTTATTAAATAAAAATACGTAGTTTTTAAATATTTTTATTACACATGTGTACATGTACACTACGTATTTTTATTTACAGGTGGTATATAAATGATTTTTTCTTGTTGTTGGTTGCCAGTTCACAGTCGTTATGTTTAATTTCTTACCTGCACACCGGTCTCAACGTACAATTTCTTGAGATTGATGCCTCCTAGGCCGACAAGTTTGGATCGTTTGTGTGCCTCTACTTCCATCTGTTGGATAACTGGCATGTTTTCTTTTCTACCTTGTCTGAAATAATAATACAGTGCTACAGTCATAGTTATACTCACAGAACAATAAATACAGTAGTAGTGTTTAGTTTGCGTGGTACGTGTGCCAACAGTTTGCGGAGTTCCGCAAACTTCAAGCTTTTACCGCCATTTTCGCTTTGTACTTTATGAAAGAAAACGTACGTTAAAAAAAGACTTATTATTATTTCACTACTTTGAAGTGGAAAAATGATAGTAGCACTTGTAATATTATCTATGGTGGTGTTTTGTATCATCATTAAGTCTTATTTTATTGAATTGTAATAAATTTTAAATTTTCTGTTTGCGTAATTTAAATTTTGTTATAAAAAACGAAAGTAATCCTTACATCGCTACAATACGCTAGCTTCTTTTTTGGAGTACTATGTAAACATCTCGAATTCGTTGTCGTACACCTATTAACCGTAATGGCAGCACATTGATTGAAATTTCAATATAAAATCAAAATGTAATATTTCCAATACTAGGTATGGACAGCTCTGAACTTATGAGTCTATTATAATAATAATGAATTATGCAAACAGACAAAAGAAAAACTCATACAGCCAACTGCCTAGAGTTGGTAATTGCGAAGAGAATTAAAAATATCCACCTGTACTGTTTACTTTAACAAAAAAGAAAAAGCGGCAAAATAAACTAAAGTGCTTTATTATTCCTGATTTATTCAGTCTTTTTTATATTTTCGTCGCGAAAATGAGTTCTAGTGAGAAAAGCGTTAACGAAAATACAGTAGTATACTCCGCCTAATTTAAAACAAGAGGCAATATCCGTGAAATGTCCTCACATTGTTTGAGAAAAGCACTATACATGACTCGACGGGAACGGGGATTGCTTGACTCGTATTAATACAATGTTTTTCATTTATACTTTAATACCGCACGGATTTTTTCGCCAACCTAATATTTACATTTACCTAATATTAACATACCTCGGTTTATCTATACACTGGTTCATAATATCGATAATTCGACTCTTCGCGTCACAAGCTTTCTGCACGGATTCCATGACGACCTTCAGGGGCAGCCCACCAACTTTGATATCGGCCTGAAGCGCCGTTACACCTTTTTTCGTGCCAGCTACTTTGAAGTCCATATCACCCATGTAGTCTTCTATGCCCTGTGGAGTGTTGAAATTTTATTTTAATAGACCATTCACTTTCACTTCAATCATAGTGGAATGCAAATGGGCCAATCACATAAAAAATTAAGAAAATTGAAATGGATCTATATTGACTTACAATTATATGGACGTCGGGTCCGCGCTAAAAAGTGTCCGCACTTGTAAGGCGCTAAATTCGTATACAGAGCGCCAAACTCCGCTTTAGTCTTCATTTGTTCTACTGACAGCGCGATACTGCGATGACATTACAATTTAAATTTCGAATAGGTTGACTTGGGACATTTTTTTCGTGGTTTTTGTATTAGACCCGTCGTCCATTTATTTGTAAGTCAATGTGGATCTATTATGGTTTCAATCGTAATGACATGCAATAGGAAAGTCAAATTGATCGTTCATTTTAATCTTAGTGAAAAGCAGTATGAATCCCAATCGACACCCACATGGTTTGAATCACAATGGAATGCATTAAATGTTTCAAACGGACCAATCACAGCCAAATTAAGAAAATTCATATGGGCAATTTACATGGTTTCAATCACAATAAGAGACCGTAGGAAATTCAAATAGACCATTCACTTAGAATTCACAGTGAAATGCAGTATGAATGCTAATGGACCAATCACATGGTTTGAATCACAATGGAATGCATTAAAAGTTTCAAACGGACCAATAACAGAGGAATGAAGTAATTAATTCAAACGAAACATTCTCAGGGATTTAGGAAATTGAAAATGTTTCAATCACGCGGACTTGTAATGTCTTTATCATTGACTTACAAATAAATGGACGACGGGTCAAATACAAAAACCACGAAAAAAATGTCCCAAGTCAACCTATTTAAACGTAGTGACATGTAAAGTAATATGAAAAAGCTTTTAAATTGTAATGTCATCGCAGTACTGTCTAATTTTGCTTGCTTCGCTGTCAGTCGAACAAACGAAGACTAAAGCGTGAATGACGCTCTGTATACGATTTTAACGCCCTATAAGGTCGGACACTTTTTAGCGCGGACCCGACGTCCATATAATTGTAAGTCAATGTCTTTGTCGAATTTTTAGTATTATTGTTACAGTAGCAAATGTCAATACTGTTTACATCTTTAGAGTAAATTCTTAGTATCAAAATATGTTGCTGACTAATTTTATAAGATTTTGAGGCGTATAAGCGTAAGTTCGTTCTACAGAGCGATGGTGTAGAGAGATTATCATATACCGGGCTTTAGATATTTCTAACAGAGATTGCGTTTGTCAGTTATTATTAAATAGTTATTTTCAAACTGAATCTTAACTATTCAATAACGACTTTAATACGTTCACAGTTCATGACTCCACCTAGAGTCGCAAATTGGCTTCAACCGTAAGTCCACGCATATCTATGGACTCGCAATTACATACTACGTCAATGTCAAATATTTTGTATGGACTTGATTTTTTAATTTGTGACGCGCAGCCATTGACACTGACACGCACACGCATATATTGTTTCTTGTTCAAATTCAAAATTGTTTATTAATAACGCACACAATAATAAAAATTTATTAAAGACTACATGGGTCCATAGTGTTACTACATTACAACAAACCCCTACAACAATGTTAGTAATAATTTTACATAATAATAATACAATAATAAAATAAACTAATTAAATAATATACAATATTAAGGTTTATAACAGCTGTAAGGCACTGTCCGGTCCATCAGCTAATATCCTAAGTTTGCTGTTGGGGTTCTCCAGCATTCTGCGTCTCACTGAAACTCTTTTTTTGCGCATTGCTGCATAAAAACAGGCAGTATGAGCATCCGCAAATATACAAGATGCACTGCAGTACCTAGGCAACCCTAACAGCATCCTAAACATGTCGTTATAAAGGACGCGACAGTAAAACTATAGACAGTATGATTTGAACAAGGTAACTTTTACTTCGTCTGTACAATGCGAAAACTGCGAGCCAGCATATTCCCTCGGGCCGCCAAGGCCTTACGCTCCCTATGCAAGTCAGGATCATCTTTTAGCTCCGAATTTACTATGTGACTCAGGTACCTGAGGTTTATTTTGAAATATGATCGTTTTTTTTAAATGATGTTAAGTTCTTAACACACCTAGAAGGAGCGAACCAGGTGATCTGTAACACAAGTCCCCAACCTTGTACAGACTCATTAGGCAACTTGTTAATATACATGAAATGTAACTATTTACAGATCTTTCCAAGAGAAATAAAGCATTTTGAACTGTATTGATTTGGATACACAAATGTCACACAGATTCCGGTGCACTTACAGGGTTCGTTTCGGCCTTTATATGGGGGCTGTGAACGTGTTAAGACGCAAGTAATTTATAATTTTCGTATAAATTTAGGAATGAGAAGTCGATTTTGGATATTTTGTAAATAATTCTGTGTATAGATAGGGCATCAAGTGACTCACTAACAAATCAGTAAGGATCCTGTAGTCCTCCATATTGCCGTTGTTATCATGCCGCGAGACAAGGCCAATGGCCACTCCGGCCGCCGGAGCTGACAGAGGGACACCTGCGTCCATGAGAGCCAAGGACCCTCCGCAGACGGATGCCATGGAGCTCGACCCTGGGGACCAAAATCATCATTATCAAGTGCGTGCTTGATTGTATGATATGTTAATCGCATGCCTGCCTATTCTGAACTGAGTTCTACGTTTGACCGGCAGAGAATGACTAATGGCATAATAGAATAAATAAATAATAAAATAAGGCGCCTAAACAGCAGAGTTACCTTAGGCCAACCTTTGAGAAAAGTGTAAATAAAGGAAAAGTGACTTTTTTTTAATATCCAAGTGATGGCATGAACAAGTCATGCGCCTGTTGGTAAACTACACGCCTGTTCATAACAGTTGCCACTCAGAGCTTTAAATCGCAAAGATCTGAGGGGCACTGCCACTGCACCCGTCACCCTGAGACATAACGATTGTAAACTGGCAATCGGTACTATCTCAATTTTGACAACTTTACAGGATGAAGAAAAAAATTGTTTGCGTCATTTATATAGCATCTGGTTTATTAAATAACAAATAAGTCGTTTTTAAATATTTTAGTGCGCATGTATGTATACACACTACGTATTTTTATTTAATAAACTAGATGCTCTATAAATAATTTTTTCTTCATCCTGTAAAGTTGTCAAAATCGAGAAAGTACTGGTTGCCAGTTCACAGTCGACAAGTTGACAAGTCCCAAGTGCCCGTAATTTCACCAACACCACTTACATTTTAAAACCGGAACACAGTAATGCTTATATTACTGTTTAGCGGCAGAAATAGGCAACGTGACAGTACTTATCTGGACGAACTTTTACAAGGAGCTATTGCTAGTAAGCCGTGCTCACCATTGGACTCCAGTACTTCTGCGGTAAGCCGTACGGTGTAGGGCTGGTGCGGCACGACGGGCAGCAGGCCCCTCTCGGCCAGGGCCCCGTGGCCCGCCTCCCGCCGCCCCGGCGCCCCCGCGCGGCCCACCTCGCCCGTCGCGAACTGCGGGAACTCGTAGTGCAGGAAGAAGCTCTTCTCTTTTATGCCACTGGGGAATACGTGCCGTACCGTTGGTGACAAAAGGATGTGCTCTTCGTCATTGGGGACAAAGGGACATGTATTTGTTTTATGTACTTGGGGACAAAGAGGCTATATATTCTTGTAAATATTTGAGGAAAGGTTACGTTTAGATCACAGGCTCTCAAACTTTTTGGCTTTTAGGCAAGGTAAAAAAATTTCAACGCCCACCATTATGAAAAATGATAGAAAACACGTATTTTTTATATTAACTTAACACAAAAATCACAAGGAAAAAAATTATACATTTGTAGCGCATAGCAACCCCTCCAGGGTCTTCAGCACCCACATGGGCGTTTGGGACCACTTTGGGAAACTATGGTCTAGATTATATCGTCGGAAAAGAGACTTAAGATTTTTGGGGCAAATGGGACATGTGAGATTCTTGTAGATCGTTCGGAAAATGTAGATTCTTGATAAGATTGGGGGAAAAGAAACGTCCTGATTACGTACTTGGGGAAACTGAGACACAAAATCTATGGGGCAGATGGGACACATAGATTCTTGTGGATCACTGGGGAAAAATGTCTGGTGTATTATATAATTATACATTTAATATATAATAAGTAGCCGTTACGTAATTCGGCTTAGTTACATTGTTCCAAGATTATTCTTTAACATACTAATAGTCCTGCACTAGGGAAACCCTGTATCGCGGGTGTCATGGACACACAGATTACACCCAAACACGAACAAATTCTCGCGACCCGGGAATCGGGTCCAGGATCTATGCGTGGCTGACTAGCATGGTAACCACGAAAGCAGCAGGAAATAAAAGTTACTTTTATATGTCACCATTTTGTGGGCTCTACAGTAACGCCATTTCAAATCTTATTATTCTATAACCTTCTTATTATTTTTTTACCTATAGGGAGCGGCTCGAAAAGTTCTAGATATCTTTACTCCAGACTAGACGTAAAATACAAGATATTCTTCATTTGCATAAACTAATACATAATAATTTGATTTCCCCTAATCTTTTAGCCCATATTAACTTTAATATTAAGCCAAATCCCCGTCACCATAAAACATTTGTACTGCATGTATATAAAAATAGTACTTCTTTTTAGCATCAGAATCTGGAGGTCTCATTGATGTTTTTGGCAACAACATCTACAGATTTCGTAACAATATTCAGAAACACTTCGCCTCGTCTCCTCATTAGTCATCATTGGTATTTATATTTCCACTACTTTTTAAGCTTTTATATATTATTTGATTTTTATCCATATACACATGTTTAAGAAACTTTTACTTACTTTTTAATAGTAATGTTTACGAGCTGAATGATCATGCTGTATGTACATATGTTAGGTTTACATCCTAGATTAAAACCATAAATTGTAACATTTATTGGAGTACCATTGAATGTAAACTGTTTTGTGCATAAAATAAATAAATAAATAAAAATATAATTTTCATTTGTTTTTTGGCAACACCTCTGTTGTAATTTTCATTAAAAGTGCCGATTAAGAGCTTCTAGCTTCCTTTTTTGAACAATCAAGGAAATGACGCAAATTACAATCAATGATTTGTCCTAACCTTGTAAGCATAGTAAGTGTGTCCATCTTGAGCGCGCTGTCGGGTGAGTCGAAGGCCACTGTGCATAGGACCTGCGTTTGACCGCGCTGGAACAATGCACTCCCGTGTAGGGGTTCATACAGAGACACCTGAAACAAAAACTAGAAATAAACAACACGGGCGTAAAATTGGTTTACATGGAAACCAAACACATAAAGAAGCTCTAATGGCTGACCTACTGCCTCTCAAGAACAGGCCGTGTGTTGGATTCCAGGCTTGCACCTCTTGAGTTTCCCAGAAAATTATGTGCAAAATTGGATTGGAAATTTACCATGAGCTTTTCGGTGAAGAATGTTTCGCCATCATGATATTCAATTATTTTTTGTGAAATCACTCCACTAGTTTGTTATAATTATGAGTACAAAGACCGAACACTCCTTCCATCGATCCGACCGGTTATTATTAGTCGAATCGAGAATCCTAGTCGAGTCCAATCGAGATATTAGTAAAAAATATACATTTCTAGCTGTCACTATCAAAATCGAAACAAGTAAGTTTTATTGTCTAATTTTTATAGTACTAGAAAATGGCAACACCAGTACCCTTTACTGTAAGTGTAGTATGTGAGCGTAGTTTAACGGTAAGCCCATGTTGCATGTAATGTTGCTTTTTAATAACCATTACCTATCTTTGATTTCAATCCAAGCAAACTAAAACGGTTTTTCACATTACATAATGTAATATGGCAAAAAAGAATGTGGTTACGTCTAGATTGTTGGGGAAAAAGACATGTAGATTATTTTACACCAATGGAGAAAAGAAACACGTGAATTCTTTTATACCAATGGGGAAAAAGGGACATGTAGATTATTTTATACCAATGGGGAAAAAGAGACGTCGCTAAGCTAAAATTGGTAGAGTTTTGGCAGGTATAAATGATTATTACCTGACAACTGATCTTCCTAAGGTCATCCAAATGCCGTCCATCACATCGTATATCATTTTCAAAGATCATATCACGAAATATTTGTCTGAGATGCGATGAGAAGCAATCTTGTAGCTGGGTGAGGTCTGCTTCGGTGTCTCTAAGTTGGTTCAAAACAGTCTGACGCAATTCTGAGATTGCCAGGTCGCGTGACAGCTTGTCGTGGGAGTGGTCACTGGAAAACGCGAAAATTGTCTCGTTTAATTCAAGTCGTACTTGCTGTCGATTACAAGTGGTTACAGGTTTATATTATAAATCGACCCCTCCTACGTAAAGTATCGTATGTTGAAATTAACAAGTTTACAGGGGAGCGTTTTAAAGTTTTCAATTCACTGAAATGAGTCTAATTTTAAAATAAATTGTGGTTGTTCATCTAACCGACGAATCTGGGATTTTATAATACTCTATGTGAGAACGAGCTTTACCGAATAAAACTGAGAAATGCTAAAGTCACGTGTTATGTTTAACTTTAAAGCGCTCCCCTGTAAACTTGGCAATTTCGACATACGATACTTTACGTAGGAGGGGTCGAAATATAGGTTTAACTGCCTCCGTGGCCGAACGGTCACCATGATGGTCGGCCATGCAGAGGTCCCGGGTTCGATCCCCAGGCCAAGAGAAATATTTGTATGGCTTACTTTTATTTCTTTCGTGGTTTGGGTGTAATTTATGGTTGTCTATGTGTGTGTCCATGGCATCGAGTATATAACCAGAAATAGAGACGAAAATTATTTCCCAATCCGGATGGATTGGGAAATAATTTTCGCCAGCCATCCATCCCTGGCAACTCATCAGGCAAATGGGCCTTATATCACTTTTAAATATCAACTCTCGTTTGCGCTAAAATCACAAATTAGAAAGCTGAAATAGCACATCGCCAACAACTGACCTGTGTGTACGTCTCCGTGTATTCCAAAAATATTCTGTATTTATTATAATAAAGATAATATCTCTAACTATGGGGCTGTTCCATTCGGTGGTGTGGGAAAAACAGCAAAACATCTAACTACAAAACAAACGGAACAAACAAACAGGTAATGAAATATTAAATATGTAATTTTTCAATTTTCGTCCATTATAGGAAAGCTCAAGTTGAACTGGTCAATTTGAAGTGAAACAATCGGCGACATCCATTGACTTACAAATAAATGGACGACGGGTCTAATACAAAACCACGAAAAAAATGTCCCAAGTCAACCTATTTAAACGTAGTGACATGTAAAGGAATATGAAAAAGCTAAAACGTTGAATTTAAATTGAAATGTCATCGCAGTACTGTCTAATTTTGCTTGCTCCGCTGTCAGTCGAACAAACGAAGACGAAAGCGTGAATGACGCTCTGTATACGATTTTAACGCTCCATATGTTCGGACACTTTTTAGCGCGAACCCGACGTCCATATAATTGTAAGTCAATGGCGACATCCGTCAATCTGGTCATATACTCGATGGTTACAAATAATCATAGTGTGTACGTGATTCGCAATCTTGCCGCGAACGGAACGCGTGCTTCTTCTTTGTGCTTACGTCCTTTATAGCTTACATATTTCTTAAAAAAAAATACTCTAAATTGCTCTCCTGTAATATTTTCCAAATGCATGTTAGACGTTTTACCATTCCAGCATCGATATAATATTCTCAAGTCCCGGAGACTAAGGAGTCCCATCCCCAATAGTGGGGTTGGAATAAAGGGTTGATGATGATATAATATCAGAATCGTAACTCGGTTAATATGAGTTATTTTGAAAAGGTTTTCAAATGTGGCAGTCGATCCAAATCTGTTAGAGCGTTAGGGCACTACGACCGATTCGTACCAATTCCGAATCCGAGAAATGACTGTCCGAAATGTCATAGGGATTATTCTATCTCTAGGTGTACAAGCGATATTCGTATTTTCGAATCGGATACACTGTGCAAATGCGCAGTGTTTATTGGTATCCTGTAAAACAGTGACAAACCTTAGAATCTCCCTGATCTTCATAGTAGAAAGTGTCTTGATAGATGCCACGATAGACTGGTCGAGCGGCGGCTGTGTCTCGTATTCACGTTTGGTTTTGCCATGCTCTTTTTGTAGCTTCTCTATGCCGCGGACTACGTTTTGGGCTTCTTTGGTTCCTTAAAAATGGTAAATTATAACGGTATAGTCTCTATTTGGTAATTGAAAATGAAATTATAGACGTCGAAAATTCCAAAATTATACGACACAACGAGATGAGTACGGGAAAGGACATTTTGGAGGTATTTTTTATTAAATCAACGTACCTATCGAACATAAAAAAACCTTTAGTATGACATCTAAACTATCAAATAAAATTAAATGTGTATTTCAAGTAAGACATTGGTCAAAACCATTTTTGATACGCCGTTGTTCTACTATTTCCCATAATGCGGCGTCCGCGCGGCGTTTAGTATGTTTGCTACGAGATAACTATACGCGATTTTGTGAACCGATTTTATAATTTTTTTTGTTGGAAAAAGGGTACTTCAGTATTGGTGGTTTAAATTTGAAAGGAAATATTCCAACACTAAGGGAGGCAAACTAGGGGATAAATCCACCAACTTTTGAGGTCGATTTATTTATAAAAAAGTTTATCGAGTTCTTAGGTTTTCGCGATTGTTACACATAGGAAATGAAACAATTTTTCCGGATTTAAATCGCGTATTTCGTGGTCACGTAAAAGTCAACCGTGACCATGGCACCTGTAAAGGGCCCGAAACGTCGGTTTGTTTGAAAAAACAAATATACGCGATTTTTTAATTATAATTATAATTATTAATACAAAGATCCTTAGAAAAAAAAAATCCTTAGATCCGGCCGGATTAGTTGGTATAGCGTTTGGCACGGTATTGTAGAAGACGTCGGTTCGAATCCGGCCGGATCGAAATCTGAGTGTTCGATCTATGTATTAATAATTATAACAAACCAGTGGTGTAATTTCACTTAAAAAATAATTGAATATCCATTCAAGAAAAATATATAAATTAATTATTTTTATTAAAAGGTAAAATTGTACAAATGTATCAAAAGTACTATAAGACTTGTTTTAAAATAAAATCAGAGGGACAGTTATTATAAAATAAATAAATATTAGACAATATCATACACATTGCTACGATCCCAAAGTAAGTAACTATATACAGGTACAGACACCCAGATCATACACAAAAGTTAGTTTTCAACATTAACTCGGACGGTGATCGAACCTGGAAACTCAGAAATGGCAACACCATGAAAACCGGTGTGTAAGCCACTTGACCACGGGTGTCGTCGTAATAAAAATAAATAAATAAATAGACTATGCATTTCACATTATGTGCAAAACAAAGTGTATTAAATAACTAAGAAATCTGTCATAGTCAAGGTAACTTACATTCGTACCTAGTTTGATGGCCTTAAGCAGGTCCTGTTGCAGGATATCGTTGGCGCTGCCTTCCAGCATCACCACCAGGTTGCTCCTCGTCGCTGCTACCACAAGGTTTAGATTTGACTTTTCCAGGTCTTTGCGAGTGGGGTTTATGATTATTTCGTTGTCTATTTGGCCTAATCTGCAAGCAAGAATAAGTTAGAAATTAGCAGCCATTGAGGTAAGGGAAAGCAATGTAAATAAATAACAGCGAGACATATTTGTGAGGAAATTATTTTGTGTGCGTAATGACTACTTATTCAACTTTGCTTCATTTTTTTGTAATATAAAGTGACGGGAGTAACAAGTCGTGCGTCTGGTGGTGAGCTACACGCTTGTCCATAACAGTTGCAGACACAGATCTCCAAATCTCAAAGGTCTGACGGGCACTGCCACTGCGCCCGTCATCCTGAGACAAGTTGAAAAGTCCTGCAATTTTATCAGCACCGTCACCATTCAGAGCCTAAAACGCAGCAATGCCCACATTTGACTTTACTACAGTACTTACCTGGATAAACTCTTTCACAAGGAGGTCTATTGCTACAAAGAGCAAGGCCGCAGGTCCAGCCACTCCAGGTCCACTAAGTTCTAAAACTCACCTCACAGCACCCACGGGCCCATTCCATGGTACATCAGAAACAGCTAACGCAGCACTGGCAGCATTTATAGCGATAGTTTCAGGCGGATTTGTAGCATCGACTGCCAGAGTGTTGCACACAATTTGAGTATCAAAATTATAGTTTAGAGGAAAAAGTGGGCGTACTGAGCGGTCAATCAGACGAGATATTAGGATTTCACGTTCCGTCGGACCTGGAAATACAATTGTGGGTTTCAGATAACTTTTCTGAATTTTTAATGAAATAATAATAATGTCATTATTACATTAAAAACGTAGGGAGAAATTGAAATCTCTGGAAGAGGCCGATGGCTTAGGGCGGGCTGAAGGTACTGTAGAATAGGCTGTATGTATTGTATTTAGAACTGTCTGAAGAATAAATACAGGTTTGTATTTAGAATTATTTAAAGAGCATCGTGGTAAATGAACATCGCGGTTGTTCTGGAGAAATCTTCAAATTGAATACAAGTGGTAAAGTTTTATTTATGATTATTTTCCTTGTTTCTAATTGAAAAGTACCTCTCGCTACGCTAACCCACGACTACGACCCTTACAGTACCGAGTCAACAAATTTGATTAATAATAAATAAGTAACATATAATAAGTACGCATGTCATACAATGTATCTGTGTTAGATAAGTTAGTATGTAAGTTATCAGCAATAAAGGCTATAAACAAATAAATAAATAATAATGTGCCAGATAACCACACCAATTGGCTGGTCTTAAACTAAGGACTGAGGAGGTCAGGCGCACCCAGACTGAACCAATTAAGAAAAGTTCATTTCCCAAATTAATCCTATCCGAAATAGAAAACAGGATCTCACAGACCATATAATCGTTTCTTTCTTCCGTGCGGGATCTCCTTATCCAGTGCTCACAGTGCAAACTATTAGACCACTGAGGTCATCAAGTAGTTGTTTAGTGAATTAAGAACAAATATTGGAAGCAAATATTTATTATTAATGAGCCTGAAACGCTGGTTTATATGGAAAAAACAAATATGTATGTGACAATGCTTTTTTATTGTCATTCCACCTTTTTTTTATAAAAAGGAATACTGCTCTGTGGCTTTTCTTGATGTTCAACAAGCTTTCGATCGTGTCTGGCACAAGGGACTCTTGCACAAAATTAAAATATTACTCCCTCACTCATTCTTTCCTCTGACAGAATGTTCCAAGTAAAACTTCGAGACGCGCGGGTCCTTTCTCTTCAGCTGCTGTGCGGGAGTGTCCCAAGGTCCTGTGCTTGGCCCGGTGCTGTACAACATCTTTACTAGTGACCTACCCCAAATTTCAAATGTAGCAGAGGCAACCTACGCCGATGATGCCGCGTTCCTAGCCTGTAATCGCCATCCCAATGAGGCAGGCAGAATTTTGCAACTCCAACTTAATGCCGCCAATGCATGGATAAACAAATGGCGCATAAAAATGAGGTAAATCGGTCAGCTTAGGTCCTGACACTCTACCACAAGTCTCTTGCGCCAAATATTTGGGACTCAATTTGTCGTAGGATGACTTGGAGTGAACATATAAAAAACAAAAAAACTAAGATGTAAATTTCTCTGATCAGTAAATTTGTCTGCATTCTTAAAACAGAAGAACTATATGTAGCAAGATGTTATAGCATTGCCGTTTTTAATAGGTCATGGTTCACATAACAATTGTCTCCTGAGCTCCAGTATGGCCAAATACCTATAAACCCAACAGGATGCGAAGATTCCTAAAGGAGCATGACTTAGTATGTAGATATAGCCTGTAACAGGAATGCATACTTGGTACTTGGTGCAACGGGCCGGCGTCCACTCAACGACAAGGCGCCTATTTTGCGTGTGGTGGGTGCAGGGTCCTACTCGTACCACTCAAGCTCTTTCAGGAACCTCAGCTAGGTTGCTGAAGATTTCGGGGACCGACCTTGGCACTCCAAGATAGTTTGCCCTGTAGTTTGGCCAAGCCGGAGCACTGTAGCATAGCACATGCATGCATACTCCTTACTTTGCTTATAACTTCTTTTTATTACCCAATATTCATTTACAGCTGTATCAATGTTATTGGTTATAAAAATTATTACCCAGCAAGCAAATAGGCAATGTGAAATAGACGTGTAATAGTACCTAATTCTCTCCTTAAAAAGTTAGTTGGAATTCTTCCAGCAGCAGCTGCTTTCTGTCTATAATCAACTACCAAAGGTAGAAATGAAGCACTATTCTGCTTTGCTCTCGAAACAACAGTGGCTAGCACACTCGAGTTTCCGAGAGTCGCCACACAGGAACCATCGGCGAACCGTGCAAACCTTCCTGATGACAACTTTAGGGAAGTTAATCTGAAAGACACAGAAACCATATTTATAACAGCTATAGATAGTGTGTATTAATTATGATTGTATTAAACAATTTTTTTTTTATCTAAATGACATATATTTGGTTTTTCAAAGAAACTTAACCATAATAAACATTAAATCAAAATAAATAGATTTTATTGTAAACAAAGTATCACAATTTTGAAGTAATGCAGGCGTATCTACACAGCTAATTCTCTAGTAACCTTTGGGTTAAGGGGAGGTGAACCCCATAAAACCCCCCTGATTGGGGAGTTACGTAACCTCCCCTTCCTGAGTAATACCTTGAGAATGTAAATTTCATACAAAAATGCACAGAGAAGGGGGGTAAAAATGTGGGAACGAGAGGTAAGGCCATATCCGTCCAATTTATTTGTATACAGAAAGACTTGCCCATTCTATGAAGAAAGAACCGCCTCAACATCTAAATGTCTTCGGTGCATTCCTAACCTACGAAACCTATCACCCAAAGTTTATTTTCCAATAATTTACATTCTTAAAAGTATGAATATCTTTAAGTTAATATTTTAGGATTAGACTATTACGTATGTAGCCTATTAACCATTTTAATTTAAACTCTCAACTCGACTGCTGGTAATGTATATTTAAGCCCCTAAAAATATAATCCTCAAGGCCTTTTGACCTCCATTTCACCTGATGGACAGTGACAATCCCTTTCGGGACGGTCTAATACGATTGTGCGGGTCGCAAAATCGAATTTCTCTCATTAATTTTACGTCTGTATTGGACGGGCCCCGTGCCACACGATTATGCGAGAGCCAGGCCTTAAACTCTTGCGAAAATATCTCGCGTACGTCAGTCAGCCAACAGTTTCGGATACGTTCAGTTTGGCGGAAAATTGTGACTCCAGATTTGGCGACTGTAAGTATCATTTTCTACATATTTTTATGAATACATATGATAAACAGTAAGTGTTTTGAACACACGTACACAGATAAATAAATAAAAAAGAGTTGTGTGGCGGCGTTTCAAACTTTTCCCACACAATTGTATCAATCTGGGCCATGCGTTACTTTTCGCGTCTATTAAAACTAACTTCATCGCTGTATTTTTCATAGTTATTCAACAATGGTAGAAATTTTAATATTATTAGAAATTTATTTTGAAACAGTATGTGTTTCAGGAGACGATAGTGATGATGACGAAGAAGAGGATGTCCACCTGCATCCTAATGAAGTCATGGATGATGCTACCTTCTCTTTTTCAGCCTCCGAAGAAGACAGCGAAAATGACAACATTCCTTTGAGCGAACCCAAATGGACGAAGCAGGCTTATAATAGCAAACCCGTACTACAAGAGGCGTTCGTCCTTCAGGAGATGTTCTAACGCATGCAAAATATCAATTGATGATTGATGATGATCAGCGGCGTTTGCGTGCAGACGACCCTTTTGATTACATTGTATAAGTTGTTTTTATTGACTCTTACAGTTGTGTTATAGCATTAAGTGGAAGTAATAACATTTAAGTGGATTTTACAATGGATTTTTAGTGTAAATCAGTTTAAATTTAAAGGTAGTGACTTTTTTTCAACCCACACATACGGTTTGTACTTCTGAACCGAATCTGGTCCATCTCCTGCTTCAGTCAGGAGAATAATAAGGGGCTCATCTCCTTGTAGACCAACTGATTTTGAATGGGACAACTTTGATGTGAATGTAGAGGTTATGGATGAGGCTGCTGACCAATCCTTAGGAGCAAAGAGAGGAGTCAAGAATTGATGACGAAGAAGGTTTCATTAGGGTCACTGGAAGTAAGCGTAGAAATGTGCGTCGATCGTGTTCTAAAATTCCATAAATGGCACAAACGAATGTGATATTTCTGTTAGCAGCAAGGATATCCTTCCTAAGCAATTAGGATTGGCAAAGATTTTGAGCAACGGTCATATACTTGGAGTTCTTAAAGTGACATACAAGAATATAATATAAATATAAATGCTTGATTAAATTCAAAACAATTGGTGATGCAGAGGTATTTTTGAATTCAGCGATAAGAGCATCCATGGCAGAGACATATATATAGATAGACGCCGCTAGTACATACAGCAATTTGTATTAAAGATAGATGAGAGGCGCTCAAACAAATTTCGTACAAAATAGTACGAGCCAAATGAGGGTAAAAAATTTTCAAGATTGCGGACTTAAAATGGCGGCCCGAAATAAAAGTGCCCCGATCCGACTGAAATTTGACATCCGATCGTGTATGGAGGCTCATAGTATGTATCTGCGAACAAAATTTGGATTCCGCCATTTTCCAAGGTGGCCGCCGTACAAGTGAATTTTTGGTATTTTGACCAGCATTTTTCTCCCAGAAGAAGAGCGGGTGTATAAGAGTGATGTATGCGAATAATGGTTGGGTGGATTTGTTGAGTATCAGAAAGTACCAAAAACTTCGAAATGTGCTCCGCATCAGGTAGGAACCCAGCTGCCCGGCCAAAGTATACGTTTTAACCCCAAGGTCTCGAAACATATGTTGCTCCACACCCTGGGCAGTTCCTACCAGGAATAAAAAAAAAATTAAAATTTGCAAAACAAATAAGCCGCTATATAAATTTTGTGGGACTATATCTCCGTAATTACTAGAGATAGGTAAATAATGTTCAGACTAATCTCCGAGAGGACGATAGGAGCCAATCGGCTGTCAAATTTATTTTTTCAAAATGGAAAATTCAATATGGCGGCCAAAAAAAATTACCGATCGTGCTGAAATTTGGCACGTGGCTGTGTATAACGCCCTATAATAGGAAATTGTGTCTGTGGTTTTTCGATTTCGTCATTTTCCAACATGGCCACCATACATTTTCCACTGTCCAACATCATTGTTCTCCTAGAACGAATCGAGGTGTTTTAAATAAATGTACAAGGATTGTATTTGACTAGGAATGTTGAATACCAGAAACATCCAAAACATTCAATAAGTAGTCTGCATCAGGTAGGACACCAGCTGCCTGACCAAAGCGTCGGAGGTAAACAAATAGGTATCAGCTCAAACATGTAGATATTTATGGAACATTTTATCAGATTGAAGATGTAGAATTAACTTAAAAGGTGAGAAAGAACCCTACACCAGACACATTCATAGGGGACTTGCTCAGGGAGATCCTATTTCTCCTTTGCTATTTAATATAGCCACCATGGACATTGGAAATACTATTACAAAATGTCAGTATTTCTCAATATGCACATGATTTTGTATTGTATAAGACAGTAGAGAAAGTTAATTTATTAGATGCAGTTGATAAACTGAAGTCTGCTATTACAGCCATAGTGGCTGTATTAGAGAGTATTGGGCTGTGTACTTCAGAATCTAAATCCAATGTATGTATATTTACAAAATCTAGAAAAGAAATCAACTTTAATATTAATATTCACGGTCAAACACTAAAGAATGTTAAAAAGTTTGAATATTTAGGATTGTAGTTCGACTCTTCGATGCGGTGGAGTGCTCATGTAAAATACATTTGTGAAAAAACTTACAAACTTTTAAACAGTTGATGTCCTTGCAAAATCAGCTGCTGAAAATGGTACTGTACTCGATTGTAAGCCTTATGCCACCGAGATTATTCCACTAAATAAGAAAAGAACCTTAGAAAAATGGGAATATCATTTCGGAGAACAGTCAGTGGACAAAGGCTTTGAAATATGGTACAGAACTATTCAGAGTAATCCAGTGGGTACCCTGGTTTTATTCTGTCAATATAGCAAGGAAATATCTTGTATCGGCTTCTAGACTGCGTTCTGGTCACATTCCTACTAATAAATCTTTTCATATGATGGGTTTTAAATCATCCCCATTGTGCAGTACTTGCAATAAAATAGAGGATTTTTATCATGTATTGGTGGAATGTAATCGTACCGTAACCCTGAGAGGTACAATATTTGGGAATGTGCAATTATGCAATGGACAAATTAATTGTTGGCTCAGAGAGCCTGTATGTATTGGCGCACTAAACTTGTACAAGTTTTTGAACATGGCCTTTGAGTAGGGAACCCAGTATTTTGACAAAGTCACTCAAGGTGGGTAAACCCTCAATAAAAAAATAGATAATAAAAAAAAGATTTATTTTGTCGATGTCGATTTATTTTGTAAGAAGAAATATTTGAGTTTTTTTCAATAAATTATTTTATTTTTATAAATAAAATGATTATTTTAAATAGACTACTTTGATTATAAATTATCAAAATGAATGGTTAGGCCCACACTAAATTGTTTATGGGTAATGACTGGCCCAACCCGATACCATCGTGGCACTCACAATTGTACTTAGGAAATGAAGGGCCCAGAATAATACAATTGTTGGTATGTAGTTTTTCCAAGGTGGCGTCGGAAAATTGGAAACGCTTAAAATCTGCAACCCCGAATTACCTATATAGTACATACTCAGATCTAATAAATTTTGGAGCCCATCTGAAAGAGCTATGAGGTCGACGATGAAGTATGCACACCTAAATAATACGTATTCACACTCGCCTTGAAAAGGCCAAGTTATAGTGTTCAGGGAATAAGCCTGCAGGGAGGGCATTTCACTCCTTAGTCGTACTCCACAATATAAATGTAGAAGAGTTAAGGCTTTGTTCGAATTCTTGGAATACCCACAACATAGGGGTGGAACCCCAGCCTACGTCTAGTCCCCGGTAGTTCTGGTTATGTATTTAACTTACATTTATCGGTACCCCATTCAAGATAACCTGTACAAGAATATAACCTTAAACTTACCCATTTGAGAAAGGCACTTCTAATTCAGCAACATTGTGTTGTGTTGAAAATAATCTACAGTAGTAACGATATTTTGATCGCATTCTGGACATAACAACACGGTTTTTGTAAAGCATTTTGATTTGATTTAGATATTTTGGATATCGTACAAGGGTCAGTAAAGGGCATTAAGCTTTCGTTTAGTTATTTGTAATGATGAGTTATTAAATGGAAAAATGCACGATGTACAATTATCTGGAAATGTAAGTTCCTTGAAAACACTAATTTTGTTTGAATGTAAATATTACAGTAATAAAAATTAAATTCGCGGTATTCCCAGAATCTTATTTTTAAAAGAAAAAAAAAGACGTTTGACATGACATTGCCATATAAATTATTTTGGAAGAAACTCATGCATTGCGTTCGTTTCTTACATTTCTCACTTCACCTTGTAATGATGATTGGTGGGTGAGTGATATTTTTCGCGTCGCGTAGGAAAAAAAACATTATTTATTATTTATTCGAGCTTTGTGTCAAAAAAACAACAATAACACTACTTTCAGTAATTAAAAGCTATCAAGAAGATTGTGTACTTTTTATTTACTAGGTTACTACAAAAAATCTTTTATTGGATATTAATTGGTGAATATATTGATATTAAAATCTTTCAATAAAAGCTAAGCAAAAAGCTTTTTGAACGAACGTGATTGAACCATACAGCTGAGGATTCACTCTGGACCTTTTGGAGGGAAAAGTCTCGTTTTTATTTTGACTTTCAATTATTTTGTGAAATCTAGTTTAAAGTGGAATAGGATAGTGCTATTGTGCCTTAATCGAAGATTAAAACGCAAAGTTATACGAATCTCGAACTAAAATACCCGTATCGACCCGTTTTAGTCAATCCAAACACGCCGCCTCAAATTGCCTATCCTTTTTGAGGCGGCCATATTTACAAAAACATAATTAAACGAAGATATGGCTCAAAGGACTTATATCCAAGCCAAAATTATTAATAAAAAAAAACATACAGCTGATCGTCAATGTCAAATGTAATTTTTAGGTTATGTATATCGCAAACTAAAATTATTTGATAATTAATGGTTTTTGTGAAATACTAGAAAGTATAATGAAGAAAGTACAAGGATACGATTCATTTCAGCGTATAAACTATTTATACCAGGTGAGTTTGTAGTAGACAGAAATTATAATGTAATTGTTATTTGGTAACTTTTGTACATTTGTATTGTTTTTAGGCCAGTAAATGTATAGCTGAGAAGCATCCAGAGCTCTCATCTTATTATGGGAATCTCATCGTCAATCTAGCTAAAAAAAATGTCCTCAAAATGTAAGTATGGTTCGGAAGAGTTTTATTATTAACCATACAAGTACTGCCACCTTACCTATTTCTGCAGCCAAGCAGTAATGTTAGCATAACTGCATTCCAGTTTTGAAGGGTAGGGGTACTGGTCATACAGGTGGTAACTGCAGGCACATGGACCTTGTCAACTTATGTCTCAGTGTGACGGGCGCAGTGGCAACCCTGAGATCTTTGCGATTTAAAGTTGAGTGGCACTGCAACTGTTATGGACAAGCATTTAGCTTACTATCAGGTGCTTGACTCATTCATCCTGGCACGTGATGTTACAAAAAAAAGCTCTTCCTCGCGTGTTTAGTCAAGCTATTTTCGATATGCGACTCGTTAGTAATTGCTAATCCTGTCATTCGAATGTCAAATTAGCAACCTACTAATTTTCGTATTCGAATGATTTGAATGATCATTCATTACTAATTATTAGTATTAATGGTATTAATCCATAGATTCCAAAGAGCATTTCTGCCCGTGATCATCTAGCCCTCTCTGACATATGGTAAACACTGTAAATGTGACGGGGACAGGGATATTTTCTGGTATGGACATGATGAATTAGGTGTTCCGATATAATAATCATTCGGCTCGTGCACCCAACCGACTATAAGGCATTCGGTATTGATAAATCATTCAACTCGAGTCGAATGATTGTGCTTGGACTCAGCTTATTCGAATGATTTGCCCATTCGAATGATTAGTATTAGTAACATTCAAAGTCGCGCATCGCTACAAGCTAATTAATGCACTTTTCTTTTGATCTGTATCGAGATAACATTCACACAAGATGTTTGAGGTATAAAGTTCACTGTGGTAGTGTCTTTGTTTCGTATAACACAATTTTTCACTGGAATTCATTAATGTCTTTAAGAACGCAATTGTTCACTCATGAAAGTACACAGTTAATTTAAAAAAAATCTACTAAATTTCACCTACTGCTTGGTGCAGGCTTTGTGCTACTTTGTGCCATCCATTGCAATCTTTCAATTTTGCAAAAGATTACCATTCTGGCATACTTTGCTCACATTTATTTACAATTTTTTTTTTGTTTTATAGGCATCCAGAAATTAAACGTCAAATCTGCAGGAAATGCCGTTGCATACTTATGAACGATTCTACAGCAATAATAAAAATGAAGAATAAAAGACAATCAAACATTATAGAGTGGACATGCAAAACCTGCAGTACAAAAAAGTCTTACCCTATTGCTAAGAAAAAAGACCATAGAGTTTGGGTAGAGAAACCCGAAGCGGTCGTTGAAGTTATCAATTGACAAGAAAAAAAGGAATTTTGTGGACATCTGAGGAAAATGAGAGATTCGACGGCCATTCTTTCATTGTATACAAGTTTATTGTGTCCCATTTTGTGGCTCTCCGGTCTCCCTTCCATTAATTAAAAATAAATACTTAGGTGATTTTGCTAAAGAGTGTGCATAGAAGAGGAGGAAATGGCCGCGCACTTCTTCAAGTCTTCAGCAGATACAAGAGGGTGCTGCGGTTCCTGGAGGAGTTGAGTGGCATGAGTAGAGCCTTGCACCCACCCACTCGCAAAATAGACGCTAGATGTCAAGAATATATTTTTCTTCAATATTATTCTAGTTAGTGAATTAATGAAAAATATAATATTATATCGATGTAAATACCTAATGAGCATGTGTAATTATTAAGATTCTATTAATACAATTGTAGATAACAGATTCGCGTTAGAATTTTCGCCATGTTGCCGCTCTTACCACGTAACGTACCTAATACGTACGAGAAAGTGATGGGTAACCCTGCCACGTCACGCACGTGTGTGCGTACAAAAAAGTCAAGTCAAGCGCAAGTGTTTGCGCGTGTGCAGATAGTGCCTTGCTGTATGTAGTAGTAGTATTAGTAGGTAAATAACTTTCGACCGTTGTGTGGAGAGTCCGGGGTGTGTACCTAAGCTATAATTTAGGTTACGATGGAACTGCCGTATACATTGTATAAAAGGTCCTAAATATAAGAGTTGTTTTTAAAATACTAATAATCTTGCAGGACCAGATTACGAACATCATTAACAACAATTAGTTCCGTGATTTTTGACAAAACACGAAATTGTAGTGCGTTTTTTTGGCTTTCTGAAATCTTAATATCGGGTACCTACGCGAGCCTATTATTGGATATCAGATATTAGGATACTTTTATAAAGGAGAACTTTAAAGCTTTCCATACATGCAATTAATTATTTTTTTATGTTCTATAAAAATCTATATAAGTCTAAAATAGTTTTTTTTTTTATGTTTGAGTGTATTATTTTTTTGAAGAATGTTAAAGTTCTTTAATAGGATCTCTAATAGATGTAATTGATGTTTAAGTTCCTAATTACCCAATCAAAGATTGATTACTGCTAATAAACACAAATGAACAAATTGTTTAATTAGTTTCATTTATTATAATTATTGTCACCTAATATCGTATTGGCAAATAATATTATTGGGACCGTACCGTAACTGGATAGGTGGTTTTAGACAATCTTTTGAAAGTCATTGATTTTTCCCTTTTTTTTCTAAAACGTACTGTAGCTTAAAATATTTAATTAGAATATGAAGAATTTGTATTATTTCGAATAGATCTTAAAATAAAGACTTTCAATTTAAAGTTCGTAAGAGTTGATTAGTATTTTTTTTAAATTAAAAAAAAAAGTATCTGATATTTGGTGCTTCTCCCCTACATGTGTACTAAGTACCTATATACACACCAAATATGATTGTAGTATCACACGTGTAGTTATGCGGAGTTGTGGAAGTAGTTGGTATTACCAACTAAGTGCATATTTCATTACTTGTTAAGGAAGTGGTTTATGGGTTCCCATATAAATTTTAGTAACAAATATTATTTATTGCACAGTCCGCAATTTCATGTAGATTACATGTGAATAAAATATTATGTTGTAACCATGTAGGTCCATAGTAGGGTGTAACTTAATATCTCCAAACTGAACATGACAAACGTATTATGAAGATCATTTTCTTTTTATTAATATGCTTGACAACATTCCTTTTAACGTTTTCGGACTCTTCGAATGTCGTACTGGATCATAAGGAAAATCGGAATCAATTGGAGAATCTAGTGGATATGTCGTTTTTAAAGGTAGCTGAAAACCATGAACTCCCGCTGAACGATTCTCAAACTTCGTCTAATTCGGCGGATGAAGTTGAAAGAAATACGGCTAGTTGGATTGAGGGTGATAAACAAACTAACCATAAAAAGCTTAAAGCAGGAAACTCTGCTTCTGACGCCGAAAGGGTAAGGTATACTTTTGAAAAAGGCATTCGATTGCAACACCACAACAAGAAACCTTCAAAAAAAATTCGCGACAAAATTAGAATATTGAAGCGAATAAAGCATCAAAATTACGAGAAAGACGATAAACACCCTTTGGGTAATGAACACAAAGACAAGAAAGATGTAAAAAAACGTGAAAACCCTCATAAAAAAATTATAAATGACTTTAGTGAGCCTGACCCTATCTTAAACATACCCATGGGCGACAGTGGGCCAATAGCTAAAGAGTTTTTTGAAATTGATCCAGTACTCAATATGGTCCAGAGTAATGTCAACAGAAGGCATTTGGATAAAAATCAGACCTCGGAAAGTTCAGATGAAGAAAGTTCAAGACTGGAGTTTGGAGATTTCCGAGAACAATTCAAAGCATTTTGGTTACAGAAAAAATACGAAGCTTTGAATTCAACAATCCCTGATGGAGATCAAGTTATCATGGGAGGAACACGTAAGACATTGGCAATTAATTCAATTTATGTGACAATTGATTCTGTTGCAGTGATGGTTGTATTGTTTTCAATTATTCATAAATTTTCAATTTTATTTTATAGTTAGCTGATCTTAATTTGGTGGCGTATTTAACAGAAACTTGTAAAGTGAATCAGTTGAAATATTTTACATAGAATTTCAATATTTAAAATTTTTGTTTACCAGGGCCTTGGGGAGTAAAATGTGGAGATGCAAACCAGCACGATATGCCTTGGGGAACCTGCATGTTGCCCATGGAATGTGACGTAAAATATCGTATATACAACGGCGACGTATACTGCGGTCGAACTTCGTTTGTCTGCTGCGCACTGGAAGTCGTCACTTACGACATGTACCAAGAATTTGACGTAAAGTTCGAAGATAAAAGCACGTCGGAAGATTCCGACGAGGCAAACTACGACCGTCAAAGGGCACGTGAAAACCAAAAGAAACGGAGAGAGGCCAGAAAAAAAAGAAAAAAAAGAATTAAAAAGACTAGAAATAATATCACAAGGGAAATGAAAAATATCCTTACTAAGTCGTACGCGAATGCCACAAACCGGAGAAAGAAAAAAGCCAAACAGCTGCAAAGGTTTATTAAGTTTTTAAAGACTGAGTACAAGAAGAATCGGCATATGGTTCAAGATCTTTATGAAGAAGCGACGGTGAAAATTGATGCGGAACTTATGAAGAAACTGTACGATATAAGAGAGATGAATCACAATTTTATGCTTAACCAGACTTTTGCGGATATAGTGGTGAATGGCACAAAGAAAGGTGCAAGAATGTTGATCCAGGCATATCCGGCGCTACAAGAGTTTATTGATAAGACTCCACCCCTGACCCCCCCAATTGTAGGCATGGCAGAAAAAAACAACAATCGTTTCGGTGGTGCACTATCTGAACCCAAAGATAAAACTGGTTTTAAACAGAAGGGAGACTATTTAGAGTACGACGTGCAATATGGATTTCTTTATTACTAGTGTGCTCTTTTGATTTGTAAATACTTTAAACGAATAAGGGTCCATTCCACGGGGCTTTTCTTTTACCGTTTATTTTGTATATATCAATCATCAAGTTAGGTACTTTATGTCAATCCACGAGTCCTCGATAATATTGCGATCGAACTAATTGAGATTTAATAACTTGAGTAAACGGTTTCCTGTCTCTGTGTTTACTGTTTATCAGAACTTTTTACGAACTTATCGAAATTAAAAGTTTAAATTTTTTTAAATTAAATGTATTATGCAACCTCTATCCTGCGTAATCAAATAATTTTTGGTAGGATCATTCTCCAAGAAAATATTAAGGGTTATGGCATACCTACCAATCAGAAAATGTATGGGAAAATATTACTGCATTGGAACATGGGGTGGAGCTACAAAAACTATATTGCTAGAACTTGAAAGAGCTCAAAGGATGCTGTTAAAAATCTGCTTTTTTAAACCCAAAATTTTCCCAACCGAAAGTTTGTACAAAGAC